ATGCACCATTCTAAACCTATCCATTTCATAAAACAGCTTCATATCTTCTAGATTTCATAACACTCAAAGAAAAGATGCTCAATAGTTTCCCTATCAAAATCACAAAAAGAATAGCTCACAAGTGCAATGTCTATTAAATTTCTTCTAACAAGGAAGTCTCTAGCACATATTCTGCAATGTAGTAACCATATGAAAACATCAATTTTTGGAGGAGCCATTCCTTTCCATAGAAGAGGAGAAAAGGAGGAGACGTCAGGATATGCAATCCTATCATTTAAGGTGTTACATGATTTGACAGTACTGTGTTTTTCATTTCTTTCAATACTCTAGTGTTTGGAGTCTTTATGATGTTGTTCCAAGCAAGCTCTGTACAGCTTTATAAGAAGAAGATTAAGTTGTTCAAGTTCCTAAGATCTTAGAGGCCTTTTCCAAGATAGATTTTAGGACCAACAATTATAATTCAAGAACCCCATCTTTTCAATTCTACCTGCTGGCTGTTGGTAGGAGAAATCACTTATGGTGGTTTTGAAACACTCGAAGGGGATAAAACACACTGTTTTATTTCAAGAACAACAAGCTTACAACATAAACAAAAGCTTACAATACACACCTTCTTTTTCTCTCTTTCTCTCTAGTATTTCTCTCAAATCTCTCCACACATTATAACATAAACTCGGCTAGCTATTTATACACGAATTCAAAACAAGAAAATTCAACCTTCAAGTGTGAAGGCAGTTGTGGCCGATAGTGTGAAAGCGACTCGTAGCTGGTGGCTGGCGGCTGGATGGTTGGACGGTGACAGCTGGTGGTTGCCTTCCTTGACCTTCTAGATTGAATTTACTTCAACACTGGCGTAGTAGAAAGAACAAACTATTGAGGAAATGGATACTTAAGAATATCAATTTTTAACCACTAATCTGTTTAAAAACAAATATCCTTCCCATTACCCATTTTATAGCAAATGTTGTCTTGAAGAGTTACTGAGATTTGATCTGCAGTGTTGGAAATTGAGTAAATACCTTGCCAAGTATCAGATAAAAGAGTATTAAAATAAGGAAGCCCATTCTCAAAGGTAGATCTATACTTCTTGGATGTTATCTCTTGTTAACCTCGTATATTTTGATCTCCAAGCCTCCATATCCATTTAAAAAGTAGAGCTTTGTTTTTTCTACTCTTAAACCACCTCTAATTTTTTCTCTCACCACTAAATTCCAAGAAACCTTGTAAATCTTTTTAGTGTCAGATGTTCTAGCCCAAAGAAATCTTCATTTAATAAATGTAATCACATGGCCAATGCCTATTAACATAAGAGAAATGGACATGTAGTGAAGATGCAAGGAGTTCAGCACGATTCTAATCAAACAGACACCACCAGTCATGATTAACAACCTTTTTTTCCACATTCCCAATCTTGAATGGATACGTAAAATCATTGGTTTCCATGTAGATCGATAGCCTTTCTGGGTTAGCACCCAATGGAAGGCATAAAATTTGACTAGAAGGGAATCCTATCTGTAAAAGATTGAACCTACTATACCAGTCGTACTTAAACTCATAATCTAAGTTTATTCCTACCAATGAGCTTTTGTGAAAGTTCACTCATAATCCTGAGGCTAGCTCAAACCATCTTATAATTAATCCCCTTAGCATGAGTCAATGAATTGTAGTTATTTAGTATAAAAATCAAAGTGTCATCTATATATTGAGGACGACCATTTCAATATGCAATACCTTTGAAATAACCAAATGTAGATGCTCTTTGAAATATATGGACTCTCTGTTTGGAATTGTGATATAATTGGCAAAAGGAGTGTATTTCTTTTTTGGGATTATTTTTATTTATATACTTACACTTTAGAAATGCTAAATTTTTTATATTTGTGGGCAGGATTTATGAAATAAATATTACAAGTTGATTCTCTAAAAATAATATTGTTTTTTTAACATTCTAATAAAAGAAAAAAAATACCAAACCAATCCTTTTTTTTATAGTAATTATTTTCCAAAAATAATATTGCTAGAAAAAAATATAAACAGTAAGTAAAAACACTATTCATTTAAATAGTGTTTTAACAATTTTAGCTTTTCTATAAAAAAAAACCTATAAAACTAGCTATTGTAAGCATCTAAGTCTTTTCATAAAGACCATTAATTATTATCAAATTAATAGGAACAAATAAGTTTTTGTACATTTCAAAAGCATAGTTAAGTAATCAAAATACTTTTGAAGATAAAATAAAAATTAAAACTTGCATTAAGGATTATTTTATATTTTCAAAATGATTTTTTTGTTGTTATGAGGTCAATTTGAGGTGAAATTTTATATTTAAAAAAATAAAAATAATTAAAAAATAAAAAGCACAATAAAACAACTAAAATACCTTTAAAAACAAAAAAGACTTATGTCAATCAGCATTTTTGTTATTTCAAAATGATTTTTATTTTATTTTTATATCAACTGAGGAGCAATTTGATATTAGACTAAATAAAAAAAATACAAATAAAAGGTTGTTTCCATGTATGTTTGCTCTCACCCTTTAAATAATGCATGCAACACCTCCTAATAGTTAAAATTCAACTTCATTATGTATTTGAAAGTATTATTATGTTCATCTTTTTAAGGTGGTGCCTATTGTTGGTGGTGGCATGACTTATTACTGATAATAAATTTTTTTCTTTTCTCTCTTCTTTCCCTTGAAGTTTACACTATCCATGTAAAATTTAGAGTTGTTCTTTGATGAGATTTTCATTTTGATTTTTGTTTTTTTAATTTTTAATTTTTGTTATTAACACTTTTATAAAATTTTAATTTATTTTTAATTTTATTATTTAATCCTAATTTGGGATATGTGGTTATTTTTTAATTTTGTCATCATTCTTTTAATTTTTTTTGTTCTTTTTAGGTAAACTGATTTTTCTTTTTAATCTTACCCTTCAATAAAAAACTTGTTTTTACTTTTTATTTCAATTGTAACCCTTATTTTTTTAAAACCATTTTATTAAATTGATCTTTCTTTTCACATTTTGTATTTTCAAACTTATTTAAAAAAAAACACTTTTAAAAAACACATTCTATCTTGATGTATTTTAAAATGTGTTTTATTTAAAAATATATTAAATTAATATTTTTTGTATTTTCTAATAATTTTAATATATTAATGTCAAAAACAAAATAAAAAAATATTTCAATAAATTTCCAAGGGGAAAATACTTTTTAAAAGAAGATTGTACGAAATAATGGTGTCTTTAGCATAAAGCCACGTGGGTCACCTAATCTTTGCACCCTCTGATTGATTCTAAAATGGTCACAGATACATTGATAAAGATCAATCACTATGCTTATGCTTCTAAGGTAATGTGAGAATGTCCCATGCCAATAATAATGGTGCTTGGTGTTCTTCCCGAAGGAAGCTGCCCTGAGCACATGGCCTCCAGCTTCTACACCATGTTTTATGGGGTTTTGAGCTCTTATTACCTTTTAAATGCACAAACATCTGTGTCTTCTTCCACAGTGGCTGTTATATTTTAAACCTGTAATAAATTCCAGGAGCCAGCTGAGCGCATGTGCAAACTTAGAAACACAGTACTGCAGTTATGTTTTGGTAAGGACAGCATCTGGTAGGCGAAGACAATGACTGTTAAGCCTGTCACTTTTGCAACCCCGTGAGACCCACCATCTTCCTCTCACACAGATACAAAGTTCCGAGCTGTCTAGGGTTTTTCTTTTTCTTTTTTCTCTCAACATTGTAACATGGGGGAGATTCTCCTGTACCAGATAAATCCTGATTAGGTAAACATTTAGCATTATATTGTTTATTTCATGCAGCAGTATATAACATATGCAACATATTTAATTTTATTTGCGTTTATTCAGTAATGATGCATGAATCACCAACTTTACTTGTGGTTCTTGCTCGGGAAAAAAATCTTGAGTTATCAGGTGATTATTTTTTAATTATTTTTTGTTAAAATAACATTATTTTATTTTTAAAAAAAACTTTTTAATTATTTTTTATTAAAATAACATCATTTTACTTTATAAAAAAAAACTTTTATTAAGGTTGATTTGAGCGAGTTTATACAAAATTCACTAAAATCAATCCGCTTATGAATTAACTTATCGAATCAGCTAAATTTTACCAGATGAATATCTTTTTATTCAAATTTAAACTTAGGTAAAGTTTTAGTTCACAAATCTTAATTAATTCTGAACTATATGGTTAAATCTTATTTCAAAACTCAGCAAAAGGTGGGAAGTCTTGGACAAATATCGAAGAGGAGTGGAAAATGTGGCATGATTGTGCCTGGATATAGAAGGAGTGGACTCGTTGTACATTGAGGGATAAAAAGTGAAATGCTTACCGTAATCACCTTCATTAGTCATAATCATGATAAGTAATCTAGTTCAAGATAACATAAATTGCAATCTCTGTTATAATGATTCGGGTTTTAATTTAAATTAATTGACATTGATTTAGATAAATTCTATTTATTCCGTTAAAATTTAATCTAAACTTGATTTAATTGATATTAAAAATCAAATTTAAAAAAATAAGATGATATTTTTTTAATAAAATAATAATTCATTTAACTTGACTCCTGAGTTAACTCAATAACTTCTTTTAATATAATATTAAAAATCAAATTTAAAAAAAAATAAGATGATATTATTTTAATAAAATAAATAATTCATTTAACTTGACTCTGAGTTAACTCAATAACTTCTTTTAATATCAAACCCCTAATAAATGGAACAATCATACTTTTAATATATCATCCTGGGATTAACAGAAGATAGTTTCAATTAAATGTCCACAGGAAAAGTACAGATTCAGTTTCAATTAAATGTCCACAGGAATGGAATCACCAAAAACAAATCATCATTACCAGATTATTACCAGTTGAGTTGACCATGGGATCAATCAATAATAAAATTAAGTATCAGAGAATAATCATTTCCATGTTTTGGTGTCTGGTGGATTTCAAATAATTCCAAGCCTTTACAGTCATTAAGTACAAATAATTAGCTGGTTCAGATCCCGAGAACCCACGTAACACATTAAAGTAATGCTCAATGTTCATTAATTATAGCATGCTAGCTAGTTAACTTGTTCTTCTCTCGTACAACATCCTCTTGCCACGCTGTGTCTGTTCCACGGAGCCAGAAATGCCACACAACTAGAAGGAAACTAACTCGAAAGAACAAGAAGATGCAAACCCTTTTGCTGTTCTTCCTCTGTTGCTTTGGTCTTCCTCTTGTTTTTGTTGAAGGAGATCAAAGTGTGCAACAGTATGAAGAATTGTCAACTTTGTTGTTAATCAGATCTAGCCTGATTGATCCTTCAAATCAACTTGAGGGTTGGAGAATGCCAAGAAATGCAGCTGAGAATCAGTCACCCCATTGTAACTGGACTGGAATATGGTGCAACTCCAAGGGGTTTGTGGAGAGGCTTGACCTTTCCAATATGAATCTCACTGGCAATGTATCGGATCATATTCAAGATTTGCAGAGTCTTTCTTTTCTCAACTTCTCTTGTAATGGGTTTGATTCTTCATTGCCAAGAGCACTAGGAACTCTTACATCATTGAAGACCATTGATGTAAGTCAGAACAACTTCGTTGGCAGCTTCCCAACTGGTCTTGGAATGGCCTCAGGCTTGACTGCAGTAAATGCATCCAGCAACAACTTCTCAGGTTATCTTCCTGAAGATCTTGGAAATGCAACATCTCTCGAAAGCTTAGATTTTCGAGGGAGCTTCTTTGAAGGCTCAATTCCTGGTTCTTTCAAGAATCTGCAGAAATTGAAGTTTCTTGGCCTCTCTGGTAATAATCTGACTGGAAGGATTCCAAGAGAGATAGGCCAACTTGCTTCTCTAGAGACCATCATTCTTGGGTACAATGAGTTCGAAGGTGAAATCCCAGAAGAGATTGGGAACCTCACCAATCTTCGGTATCTTGACCTTGCAGTTGGCAGCCTTAGTGGTCAGATTCCAGCTGAGTTGGGTAGGCTAAAGCAACTTACCACAGTTTATCTGTACAAGAACAATTTCACAGGAAAGATTCCACCAGAACTCGGCGATGCAACGTCGCTAGTGTTCCTGGATCTTTCTGACAATCAGATTTCAGGAGAGATCCCAGTGGAGTTAGCAGAACTGAAGAATTTGCAGCTCCTGAATTTGATGCGCAATCAACTGAAGGGTACAATTCCTACCAAGCTTGGTGAGCTAGCCAAACTGGAGGTGCTTGAGCTATGGAAGAATTTTCTGACTGGTCCTTTGCCTGAGAATCTAGGACAGAACTCACCCTTGCAATGGTTAGATGTGTCATCAAATTCATTGTCAGGTGAGATTCCACCAGGTTTGTGTCATTCTGGCAATCTCACTAAACTCATCGTCTTCAACAATTCCTTCTCTGGCCCAATCCCCACAAGTCTCTCAACCTGTAAGTCATTAGTACGTGTTCGCATGCAAAATAATCTTATTTCTGGGACAATTCTAGTTGGTCTTGGAAGTCTTCCAATGCTTCAAAGGCTGGAATTAGCTGACAACAATCTAACTGGCCAAATACCAGATGACATTGGTTTGTCTACATCACTTTCGTTCATTGATGTCTCTGGAAACCACCTTCAATCATCTCTCCCATATAGCATTTTATCCATTCCTAGCCTTCAGATATTCATGGCCTCCAACAACCACTTGGAAGGACAAATCCCAGACCAATTCCAAGATTGCCCATCACTAACTCTTCTTGACCTTTCAAGCAACCATTTATCTGGAAAAATCCCAGAGAGCATTGCTTCATGTGAAAAGCTGGTGAATCTAAACTTGCAAAACAATCAATTTACTGGGGAGATCCCGAAAGCAATCTCAACAATGCCAACATTGGCCATTCTTGACCTGTCCAACAATTCTCTGGTCGGTCGGATCCCGGAGAACTTTGGGAACTCACCAGCCTTAGAAACGTTAGACTTATCATTCAATAAGCTTGAGGGTCCGGTTCCCTCCAACGGAATGTTGACGACCATAAATCCTAATGATCTTGTTGGCAACGCTGGTCTTTGCGGTGGCATACTCCCACCCTGCTCTACTGCTTCTTCTGCATCAAAACAACAGCAGAATTTGCTCGTCAAGCACGTTATTATTGGATTCATGGTCGGAATCTCAATCATCTTATCTCTTGTAATCGCATTTTTTACTGGGAGATTGATATATAAAAGATGGTATTTATACAACAGTTTCTTTTATGATTGGTTTAACAATAGCAACAAGGAATGGCCTTGGACATTAGTAGCTTTCCAACGAATCAGTTTCACTAGTAGTGATATTATAGCTTGCATTATGGAATCAAATATCATCGGCATGGGAGGGACTGGCATTGTGTACAAGGCTGAGGCTTACCGGCCACATGCGACTGTAGCAGTGAAGAAGCTTTGGAGAACAGAAAGAGACAATGAGGACGGTGATGATCTATTCAGAGAAGTGAATCTCTTAGGGAGGCTTCGGCATAGAAACATTGTTCGGCTTTTAGGGTATATTCATAATGAAACAGATGTACTGATGGTTTATGAGTACATGCCTAATGGAAACCTTGGAACAGCTTTACACGGTAAAGATGCTGGAAATTTGTTGGTGGACTGGGTCTCGCGGTACAACGTAGCAGTTGGAGTTGCACAGGGGCTAAACTACCTCCACCATGATTGTCACCCACCAGTCATCCACCGCGATATCAAGTCCAACAACATACTGCTTGATTCAAACCTCGAGGCAAGGATAGCAGATTTCGGCTTGGCCAGGATGATGAGATACAAGAATGAGACAGTATCAATGGTGGCTGGTTCTTATGGATATATTGCACCTGGTAAGTTGCTTGTCTATTCTTCAGATAGATTGTTCTATATCAGTGCATGAACCATAAATTATGGATAGGTTGTTCTTTCATCTAAGTAGCTTGCTATACAAATCATCTCATATCCATCCATTCACATGCTACTTTACCAAGGCTGCAAGACCAAGAGTTGGAAAAACTCTCAAATTGCATGTTGATAATCTAGACTGCTGCTGATGTTTTTATTTCTCGTGACAGAATATGGATACACTCTGAAGGTTGATGAGAAGAGTGACATATATAGTTTTGGGGTGGTGCTTTTGGAGCTACTGACAGGAAAAATGCCATTAGACCCTGCATTTGGTGAGTCTGTTGATATTGTTGAATGGGTTCGAAGAAAGATCAGAAACAACAGAGCTTTAGAAGAAGCACTAGACCACAGCATAGCTGGACATTGCAAAGATGTGCAGGAAGAGATGCTTCTTGTTCTCCGCATTGCGATTCTCTGCACCGCAAAGCTGCCTAAGGACAGACCATCTATGAGGGATGTCATTACAATGCTTGGAGAGGCAAAGCCTCGAAGGAAAAGTATTTGTTACAATGGGGTGCAAAATCCTAGCAAAGAGAGGCCAATCTTTAGCAACTCACCTGTAATAGGCCTTCTGTAGGAGGAATTTCCCCAGGCTACTGTTCTTGCGCACCTCTTTTTTTTCTCTCTTTCTTTTTATGTAAATCTTTTGACTCTCACTACAAAAAATTTTCCGTTGAGTCTAGTTGCAGATATAAACTATATAAATGCTCATGCTTTCATTTAGTCTTTCAAGGAATAAAATAAGCAGATGTCAAACTGCACTGCAAACTGATATGAACTAAGCTTCTGCTCAAGAACTAGATCCATTCCAGTGTACAAGTCAAGAATTAAAATCCCATCATAAGCACCAGAAAGCCTTCAAACATGTTTCCCTTTTGTTGCTGAAAAATCAGAATTACAATTCAAGGAAAGAGAGGAGCCACAAAGTCCTCCAACCTAAAAGATTGAGATCACTAAAGTTGAGAAGGAAAAAAAAATGGGTTCTCTTCTCAAGCCTAGCTCCTTCCTGTACAGCTAATTTCATGATATTTCAATGGTCAAAAAGACTGCTAAATTAAGCTATTAATAAGAACAGAAACCTACATTTCATACATGAACAAGCAAACTAAGTTGGTTATAGAATCAGCCTTCGTCTCAGTAGCACAACCACACGTTCCCTTCATCCTAGGTGGGTACACCCAAAAGAGCAGGTCCTGCTCCATTTCCCTGATCTAGAAAGGTGCTAGACAATGGCTGAAGAAGATCAAGGATAGAACAGAGCCAAGACCAGTCCATTTACACACAAATGAAGGCAGTAAGTTGAATCACAGACAATTAGGAAAATCATTTGGTGCACCTCTAATGTTGAAAAAAAAATAGATGAGGAAAAGAAAAAAAAGTTTCTTTCGGTCAGTGATTCAAGGACAGCAAGTCCATTGTTTTTCCTTCCAACTCATGCTGCCTAATGTGAGATTTTGCCAGAGGTATCTTTAGATTGATCAAGGGGAACTGCTAAAGCGTAATAATACTGCTCAACAAATTTCCAGGAAAACAGATCATCCGCAAAGTAAATACGTTTGGTCACAAATTCTTACAGAAAGCAACATTTGCAATCCTCCTGTCCCCCTCCCCTCAAGGGAGGTTACGGGGGAGACACAGAAAGAAGATTGAAACCTACCTCTGTATAATTAGCTCTGGTAAGAGAAAAGGGCTCCTTCTCCCGCATGCCACAATCATCTTCAAACATTCTCTCTAAATCCTGAAAGAAAATGAAGTTTTATCATAATTAACATTAATATTACAGCGACAACAACAAACAGAATCAACTTTTATATTAATAGGCTCAAGTGAAATCAGCAAAACCTACACTGTTAAGCAGTAAAATACCAAAGGTTTGTTGAGATAATACAATTCATTATTTATCAGAATGGTTTGAAAAATTATCAGAGAAAAATTGGGTCAAGATCTTCGCTGAACAAATTAGCAAAAATGGAAGCCTGGTATAAATGTTTCAAAAGTAGCATTCACCAGCTTTTCCGAAGCTGCTCAAGAAGCGTTAAACAGATTTAAATGCCTGATAACTGGAGACAGAACAAGGAGTCTTCAAGGTAGAGCAGCTTAAATGGTTTTAGTGTAACAGCTTTTACCTTGCCTGTTAAGATCTCAAATCCGAGCAATTCTTCAGCAATCTTTTCAAGAACTCGATGATTTGAGCCACAACGTAAGTTTCTGTCCTCCAATATATTTAAGGTTGTAAAGAATAGGAATACCCCTTTGTTAGTATAGTAAATTGCGGGAATGTCACGAGGTAGCTGTCTGTTGCGATTAGCTTATGACAAATAAACAACAACAAAAAAAAGTTACAATGACTAAAGAAAAGAATGAATGCTCACGTATGAAAAGATATTTTTTAAATATTTTTATAAAAATCTTAATGATTTTATTTAATGATAAAGTAAAAATTAAATGAGGAATGAATAATTTCATAAAAATATATAAAAAATATCTTAATTATCACCGAATCAAATGTTAAAGGAGAAATTAAAACAATTAATTTAAAAAAAAAAAACAAAAAACTCACTCTAATTTACACATCAAACTCACAAACCGATTGAAAGATTGGGATAACCTATACAAAATAAATAAAAAAATGATGAAAGTCAACTCTCAATCAAAATAAATAAATAACAAAATAAGAAAAAAAAAGTTAACTCATAACCTGTGATATAAGTCGAGATAATATCATATAAAGAAAAGCAATAAAAAATATAAAGTTAAAGGTCCAAAACCTAATGTCAAATGATAAAAAAATTGAAGTCAAATCAAGTTATTTTTTAAAACTTGTAATCTAAGTTATAAGATTGAATTATCCAATTGAAAATATATAACCCAAAAAAAATCATGAAAAAAAATTCAAATCATCCAAAATTAACAAAAAAAATAGCAATCAAAAGATAATGATCAAATCTATATAAAAATTAAATAAAATAAAGTAAAAGGAGATGAAATTTGAAAAATATGATAAATCAAGAAAATGATTAAAAAATAATAATTAAAAGAATGGAAACAAACATGATTGATGAAAAAATAAAAGGAGGATGAAATTGAAAAAAAATTAATTTTATAAATTATTTCAAATAAAATAAATAATAATTAAAAAATAAAGATCATATCTAATTAAAAAATAAATTGAATGACTACTTTGAAAAACTTAAAATTCATACACAAAAATCAAGGATGAGAAAGGAAAAAAAAAGAAAAAAAAGGAAGGCTATCAATATCAAACAAGAGATTTGTTAACAACATGCACTATTTAGTCATCTACCGAAAAGATTCCAACATTTCCTGGTAAGCCAAGTTTTGGTCATTGTACGATTCCACATGTTTTTTTTTTAAATTGTTTGCACCACTAAGTGTAATGTATTTATTAACCTTTTCAAATAAAATTTATATTTATTAAATTAGTACACCACACCCTAGTAAACTTGATGCTAGCTTAAAAAATCATGTTGAAAAGACAAAAAAACTCATATATCCCGGTTGAAGAAATTTGGCATTTGAGGGTATATTAGTAATTTTATTCTACTTTAGAAAATAAAAATACAAAAACAACCTATAACTCCAATTATTGAAAGTCTTTCAAGGCTAATTTAATAATTTTATTGTGCTAAAATATAAAAAATGCCTCAATCCTCAATCCTCCAATTAATTTAATAATCACCATTGGGTTTTGTAAAATAATTATTTTATCTTTAATAGTTAGTGTAACAATTTTTTGATGAAAATGGCAAACAATAATTTCACTTCAGCAATCTATTATCATTTGTGTTTCTAGGTAATAATGCCATCCCTATAATATTATAGAAACAATTTGTCAATTGCTACCAAAAATCTAGACTTATGGTAGCTGGTAATTTTTTTTTTTCTATATCCTACTACATCATAGCATCTTAGGTGAAAATCTAATGGATTTATTATATGAGCCTTATAATCATGTATTTCTAATTTTTCTATAAAAATGGGATTCCTAAATGAGAGGGGAAAACACTATACACACATGAATTACTATTCACTACAATAGTTAAATAATTTATTTTTATACTTCAAAGAAATAAACAAAGATACACTTAATTTTATATTTTCACACAACTCATCAATCATTTAATAATTATGTAGGGTATCTACATCTTTTTTACATTTTTAAATAGTTAAATGACTTAATTATCACCGAGTTAAAAAAAAATTGTTAACCAAGTATATTTATCTCTTTTAATGTTTTTTTAAATAAGGTGAAAAGTCATCTTAACCCTTGAAATGAAGAAAGAATGAATCATAAGCCTAGGGCCTTCTAGTCTTTTCACTTAGCTTTTTTTGTAAATTTCAGAAACATAAAGGGTAAATTGGTCTTTCCATGTTGATTTATTGATTTTTTAACTAAAAAAATTGATAATACATATTTTTCATGCGTGGGAGGTGCCCACTCTTTTTGTATGTTGCATCAAATTCATCATTCCTATGTGTTGTTCAAAGCACTTTGTATCCTCCCTCGCTTGGTGTGGCATATGTCAATGGCTGGACAGTTTGTTATTGGTAGACATTTTTTTTTCTTTTATTTTTTTTTCTTTTTTCATTTAAAAAAAATTGTTCTTTTTGTTTTTGATATTTCAATTTTAGTCCTCATTCTTTTAATTTTTAATTTGGCTGTTTTATATAAGTTTTAATTATCTTTAATTTAGTCCTTTAATTCCAATTTGCCATATATTTGTTTTTTCCAATTCAGTGCTTATTGGTTTGGTTTCTAGTTTTTTTATTGGTCATTTTGTAAAAGTTTTAATTTTACCATTCAATTCAAGTTTATAATGCATTATTTTTTTTAATTTGATCCTTATCATTTTGATTTTTTTTAGTTAAAGTTATTTAACCTTATAATAAAAAATATTGAGTTGCCCTTAAATTTATTTTTTGTTTTAATTTTAACCTTTTAATTATCATACTTTTTCATTAGATCTTTTCAACTATTTTTTTTTTCAATTTCATTTTTTAAGTTTTGATTTACTGGGATTGAGTTTCATAATTTTTTCATATATAATGTTTTTGATTTAATGACTTAAGTCACAAATTTAAAAAGTCAATGCGAGCCAACATTCTTTTTTTTCTCCTAATTTTATAGTTTGAAATTATTATTTTTTTTAAATTTAACTTTGTGATTTTCTTCGATTACTATTTTTTCAGGCTATCCTGATCTTATTACTTCAACTATAAGTTTTATATGTCAACTCGGGTTGATTTACTTTTTATTGCCCAAGTTACTATATTTCACTATTTTATGTTTTTTTTTGTTATTTTTATTTATTTTTATATCTTTAGAGGTTTTTTTTTCAAGGTAGCATAATTTTTTTAATAAAATTTTATCTATTTACTATCATTTTCCATTTCTTTATCATCTAATAAAAATAAAATTAGCTTAGCAAACCTAAATGAGGTTATAATTCAAGTTGTTGGTTTCTATTATTTTTTTAAAATGCATTTACGGCGCACAAACATTATTTTTTATGAAAAAAAAAAAAGACCCACAAAGCAGCAAGTGTCATGTCTAGTCCAAAACTACTTTCTAGCCTTAATTTTTATGAATTTAATATTAAGGGTTGTTTGTTTACTAGGCCCTGCACGACGACGTACCTTGCAAAAGCATATATTTCATGCTTTTGTATTAATGGATGATGTACCTTGCAAAAGCATGTATTTCATGCTTTTGTATTAATGGATGATTCTGTGATTACAATGTAATTAGGGACTACTTTGTAACATAATAAAAGTAAAAGGACAACTTTTGTTCTTCTTAAACATTACGAACCATATGCACCTTAAAACATAAATTATAATTAAGTTAAATTCAAAACAACCCCATACCAAAATTCAAAATCATAAAAACCCTATTCAAACACATTACCAATTAATTAAAAGCCCCAAATCCTCTTCCCTGTACATCAGAAGTCACGTTCAATCCTCGAGGCTAATTCTCTAAAGTAAATTACTTTCCTGCTAAAATTCTGTTGTGTTTTTGTTATTCATCGATTTCGATTCAGTTTCGAATTAAAAATTCTTATTTTTTTTATTGAAAAAACAACGAACATTACTGGGTTTTGTAGTAATACATTAAATTTGAAATTTTGAAGGAATAATCGGCATTATAAGCATGATTCCTCTCTGGTTTTTGTTTCTTTTAAGATTTGTTGCTGTTTCTGTTCCTGGGTTTTGCTTGAGTTCCACATAAAGCTCATTCCTGTTTTTTTTTTTTTTTGGAGGGGCTATATTGATAGCCAATGTGAGTAAAAATGGAGGAAAAAAATGAGGAAGTTGAGGACATTGACAGTGCTTCAAGTGATTCATTTATTGATGATGATGAGAATGATGAGCCTTCTACATCTGGACAAGAGGATGGGACCCGTATTCAGGTTTTTTTCGTTGCTTTATGTTAAGTGTTAAGTGTTATTTATCACTGTTGTTGATAGGTAAGTATACTACTTTTTTTATGTGAATGTTATTATTTTTGGATATTGGTATTATAGCTTTGAACCCAGCAGTTTAAACTTATGAAATAAGAACCTGGTTTGATGCGGATTTTCCAATGACCAATCTTGAGTTAATGAATATTTCATCAAGTGGAAATTTAAAGAGACATGCTTGATAAAAGGGCAGAAAGAAGAGAAACAAACGGTTTTAGGTTAACAATAGGACTAGCGAGAGTAACAATAGTTGTTTTCCATGGTAGGATATGGTACCATATGAAAGTTATAGGTGGATTATGTCCACAATAAGAGATCATTTTAAACTTTGTGTAAGTTTAAAACTTGTCAATCTTGTAGAGCAAACAGTTCCATTTTTACTTTCATTGTGCAGGTGCCTTTGACTGATCAAGAAGTAGAGGAATTGGTTGCCGAGTTCTTGGAAGTTGAGAGTAAGGTATCTTTTTTTGGCTTAATCTCAGCATTCTGCTTCTTCTTTTTTTTTTTAATTATTTGAAAAGATTCACAGAAACTTACTTTAGGCTGCAGACGCCCAAGAAGCACTGGAAAAAGAGTCTGTTGCAAAAGTTGAGAGTGATGTGAGAGAGGAGTTGGCACAAAGTCTTCAGGGTGATGATGTTAGTTTCTTGTGCTGCTTTTTAACTTTTTTAGGAGTTCTCATTATATCAACCTTGCCTATCATTTATGCTTTTCTTTCTTATCCATGTCTATAGCTGGAGGCGGCTGTTGAAGATGAGATGGCAACTTTCAGGGAAGAGTGGGAAAATGTGCTTGATGAGCTTGAGACTGAGAGCTACCATTTGTTGGTCTGCTTCTTTCCTCAGTTTGTGTAAATTCTTCTGTTCTTAATGCATTTTACAGTGCACACATCCTTTTTTTCCTGAAATACAGTGCATGTATCTTGAGACATTAACCAGGCAAGGTCCAAATTTGATACATCTCCCATGTCATTTTCGCTGCAAAAAGCTTCTTTGATTCATGAGCTGTTGCTGTATTTTTTTTGCTGTTGTCTTGCCCTTCAATATCCACAATGCAATTCCATTGTATATGAAGCTTACACAGGAGGGGCTTAAATTCATTCTCTTGTTGTTGCTTCTATTCTATTTTGAACTTCTTGCATCAGGATATTGTTGCTACTGTTATTTATATGATTCTAGCATATTCAGTTTGGCTAGTGGCTGCATGGGCATCGCTCAACTTATGCTTTTTACCATTTTTCCATGGTTTTGAGTTCATGCATACAAGCTATCAATTTGTCAAACAGACTGATTGAAATGGAACAACTGAGCATTGTAGTTATCAGCAAGCAGGTCTGAGTTGTGATGTGATGCGATGTGAGACAGAATGGTTTTAAGAATAGTATATATAGGGTTGTAGGGCTTGCAAATTAGTTGTGATTGCACATTTACCAAGAAGTGCTGTTTTAGGAGTGTTAGAATGAAGGAGGAGGACCAAAGATGTATACTATTCTTAGTTTGAAGAAAGTAACTACAGATCAAAAGGCAGATTCCAGATGTCTTCAAACGCACTTGAATTCTGAAATCAGCTGTTTTAGGGCTTTTACATAGACATGGAGACCGCTCAACCCCTGCACACCCTGTATTTAAGGCAGTTTTGAAGCATCATTAGGATTAGAATCTTGGGAAGTAGATAGTTAAATACTTGACCAAAAGACATATTAAAGGATCACAAAAAACTTGGTGTAGGCCTTATTAGGATATAACTAAGGCCTGTTCCAAGAAATCAGATTTAAACTCTTTGATTTTGAAAGGGGTGTTCTATGTTAAGCTAGCCTGAGATGCAACATCATATATTGTATTCTTATGGAGTTGGATTGACTGAATCATTTGCAGTTGATTTTGCAAAGGAAAGTGAAGTGGTAGAATCTTAAGACTCTTATCTGTCGATTCTGGAGTGTGGATTCTCAGAATTGTTTTGAATGGTTTGGAGTTTGGTTGTTGACTACATTCCTTTAATGATTCCAGCTGTAGAAGAGCTACTAGATCGCAATCATTAAGTCTAACTAATCCATTAATCCATGAAGTATGAGCAGTTCTTCAAAATTCACATATTATGGAACCGTTAGATTTTGGATTGTTAAGGAAGTAGTATGATTTAGTGACAATGTTTATGGTGACTGTAACTGTTAAGGTAACATGGTTGCTAGCATGGACTAAGCCATTTTCTTTTTCTTTTTTATTTTTGTGAAGTGACCATCTTTGATCATTGCCTATAGGAAATGAAGTTGTCATGTTATATTTCCTTTCACTTCCCCTAATTCACATGCTTTGCCTAACAGGAACAACTTGATGGATCTGGTATTGAGCTACCAAACCTTTATAAGTGGATCGAAAGTCAGGCTCCTAATGGTTGCTGCACTGAAGCTTGGAAAAGGAGGGCACACTGGGTGGGATCTCAGGTGACCAAGGAAACTATTGATTCAGTTTCTGATGCTGAGAAATATCTTCAAATCCATAGGCCTGCTAGACGGTAAGGTTTTCATTTTTCAGCAAGGTGAATTGTGCAAGGTTTGAAATCCGTTTAAATGATATACTTTCTGGGCTTAGACGTCATGGTAAATTATTGGAGGAGGGTGCAAGTGGATTTCTGCAGAAAAAACTTTCCGTGGATGGAAGTGAGGCTATTGTAGAAAATGGAGAAGTAGACTGGGTCTCTATGAAGAAACTATTCTCAACTAGCAGTGGGGAGGATGTTGCTTCATTTGGTAGTAAGCATTGGGCTTCTGTTTACCTGGCCAATACTCCACAGGAAGCTGCACGTATGGGACTTAAATTTCCTGGAGTCAATGAGGTGACAAATTAAATTTGAGAGTATAATTAGCCACATTATGACATTTCTGCTTAATGCCTTCTGTCTTGAGCATTTCTCAACCCTTCAGCAGCTTGATGTTGTATCATTTGAAATGAAAATTGATTCAAAATATTACTGGGTGACAAGTGCTAAATGTTTTTATCTGATTCTGGTTGATCTGATCTATTGGTTCATTATGTTTTGTCTTCATGCTTAGTATAAACCATCTGTACTTTCAGGACTTGTCTTTTTATTAAATGGGGTTTTCTTTTCCAATTCTGTTTTTCTGCCATTGTAATTCAAAGCAAAGCAATCTAAACATTGAATCAGGTTTGAAGAAGCGTATCCCCTCACCCATTCATGGGAAAATGTTTTTAGCTGAGTTTCGTAATAGACTCTGGCTTTTTTAAGTTTCTAATTGACTGACAATTACTGTCAGGATTGGTTGGATATATGTTTTGTGGTTTTGGTCTCTCTGTTACAGTTCCTTTTATCATCATTATTCTAAAGTTCCAACTCGACAATGTTCTTTTTGATTGAATCTTCCAACGGTTTTGAGATTTTCTTTTTGTCAGGTTGAGGAGATTGAAGACATTGATGAGGATTCCATTGATCCATTTGTTGCAGAGGCTGTGGCAAATGAAAAGGAACTTGTTCTTTCAGAGGAACAGAGAAAAAGTTATAGAAAGGTTGGTCAATATTCTTATGTTGAATATTATGATTTTCCTTTCCTGAAAATTTAAGATTAAGATTCTGGACATTGAATTACTTGCTTTTTGGAGTACTAAAATGATTAGCTAGTTCATTAGAATAACTAGCACAGCCATTGAAGAACTTAATCCATCAATAATCAGATGGTTCAAAATGCTGCTTTCCTTGAACTATCTTTGCTCTGATGAGGTGATCCGAGTGTCCCTGGATTCTTACAATTAAAGTTCCTATTGATTCTCATTCCCATTGGTGGTCAAGCAGCCGTGTTTCTACTGGTGCTTTAGGAACTCCTTGAATTTTTTTTTGTTAGTGATTGAGATTTTTTTTGATATTTGGAACTTTGTGATTGTAATTTTTATTTCTTAATCCAGAAAATCCAAACCTTCGTGGTACCTTGGGATTATTGTATGATAATTTTCCTAGCTTCATTGTGATGTCATGCTTCTGTTGTTTCATGGGAGTTTTCTTAGCTGAGGTTCAGTGGGATTGGGCTGGCCTTCTATGATATTCCTTTTGCTTTCATCTCTTGGAGGATGACTTTTGTCCAACATGCTTTTGCTTTTCTTTTCAGTCAGTAAATATAATTTTCTTGTTTCTAGAATTGTATTGGTATTTCATCTTGCAATTTGTGTCCGGTAGATTATAGTGATTGTCAAGCTTCTTTGATTGTATGCTTTGTTGATATTTAAATTGTATATTTCTTGTGCTTGTACATTGAAAGGTTCTTGTTTCTGTACATTGAAAGGTCAAAGAGGAAGATGATGCAAAGATTGATTGGAAACTTCAACTTCATTTGAAACAGAGGAGACAGCGTAAGAGATGTAAACAGGTGAGACTTCCACTCATTGTTTTCTTCATTTGTCATTTCCTGTTATCTAAGCCATGAATTCTATCTTCTGGTGGTGAATGATGGGACTCTTGACATGATCTCATAATAGCGGAAGGCTGTAAAATTTTGGTTGTTCTGAGTCTGAAATTGTTCCATATTAAACTAGGTCTTGGAAACTCAATTGATTGCATATGCTGATTCTGTCATGTTTTTAAAGTCCAACTGTTTCTAATTAAACTATTATAGTTTGAATTAGGTGTAGGAAATTTAATTCATTGTGTAGTGTTTGCTTCAGCTATTATGTCTTCAATAGTTCAACTGTTCTTTTTTTAATTTTTGGCGGGGATGCTACAGAGCATATAATCTCAAGGCAATCCTTCAATATTGAATTCCTAGTAATTAGAGTAAAACTATATGTTCTCTTGAAATGGACTGGTCATGTTCCTTTTTCTTGAACTCTTCTTGAACATGGATGAGCCACACAGCCTCTGGATGATGATTACAATGAAGTCACATGCCAAGATTTGAAGAAAGACAAGCTTTCTGTAGACCTTGTAATGGAACATTCTACAGGTAAGAGCAATTCAGTTTTCCCAGACTCTGCGCTACCTGATGCCACTGAACCTAGAAGGTCCAAGCGTCCAAATGAGAGTGAGGATCTAAGCATCAATGATAAGAAGATTCGGACTGTTATCATAGACAGTGATGATGAAGCGGACATTCTGGAGGATAAATCAGTACACAACATTAAAGTTGAGGATCAATCAACTTTGCAAGAGAACACTGGGGACCCTACAACTGATTGCAATCCTTCACAGGGTTCAAACGAGAAGTTTCTGTGCACTGCCTGTGATAAAGTGGCTGTTGAAGCGCACTCACATCCACTTTTGAAAGTAATAGTTTGCAAAGACTGTAAATTCTTAATGGAGGAAAAGATGCATGCAAAGGTATGAACTTTAATTTTTCCCTGTGCATTTAACCAAGTTGCTTTAAATAAGTTATAAAATGCTAAAATATCACGCTTCATAGATACACATGCAAGCAGTTACCTAAGATTATTGTCGTAACTAGGTGGTTTTCTGGTTAGCCATCGTAATAATTCTAATGAGTGGATCAGCTTACTAGGATTCTTGTTTTACTTGAACAACGTTAGGAAGATGCTCTCTTTTGTTGCATTTATGATGTGATATATTGATGAAATGTAAAATAGTTTTACATTTCATCAGAGAACAATGGAAGCACAATAATTTTAACCCTTATGGAATTATCAATGTTACTGTTATCCCTAGTCAGTAGCTAATAAAAACTCAAGATGTAACAAGAACATTTACCTCCATTTTTACAAGCCATAGAAGTCTGATGATTATAAGACTGCTGGTTCTTACAATTGGCTATGACAAATCCAAGCAGTTGACTCTATTTCTTTTAGCATGCGTAACAAAAACAACAAATTAGAACTCTGATTGCTTGGAGTCTGAAACATTTTTAAATCTTTGAATTTCTCCCTGCAGACTGTTACATCTTGCTAGGATCATGGAATTTGCAAAAAGTGAAAGATTACTAACTTATTGTTTTTATTTTAAATGCTTTTTATCCTATTATATTTTCCACAATTCCATTCCTGAGCTTAACTTGTTGCAGGATCCTGACTGTTCTGAGTGTTACTGTGGATGGTGTGGACAGAACATTGAATTGGTAAGTTGTAAGTCATGCAGAACATTATTCTGCACTGCTTGTATAAAACGGAACATTGGTGAAGAGTACTTGCCTAAGGTTCCAGCTTCTGGTTGGCAATGTTGTTGTTGCTCTCCAAGTCTGCTACAAATGTTTACATTACAGTTAGAGAAAGCCATGGGTTCTGGCGATACAATGATTACAAGCTCTGATAGTGATTCAGAGTCCTCAGATACAGATGGTGGTGTTACAATCAGGTATCCTGTTGTTCCTTATGAGACAGACCTTTGTCTGTAGTTTTATGTATTATTCCCTACCGTATCTAAAATTTGTTATGAGATTGTATCTCAAACATAATTCTCAAATTATGCTACTTTGTATCAGATCTAAGAGAAAGATGAAAAAGAAGATTAGAAGGATCATTGACGATGCTGAATTAGGAGAAGAGACCAAGAGAAAAATTGCTATTGAAAAGCTGCTCTTTTTTTTTTTAATGATTGATTTGATTAAATCAGGCATGTCAGTACTGATTATGCATTGTGTTGTGATCTTATGCAGGAACGTCAAGAACGCTTGAAATCCCTGAAAGTACAGTTTTCTGACAAATCCAAGATGATCAATCCTGCAGGCTGCAGTGGAAACTTAACTGAGGGTGCTAGTGTTGAAGTGCTTGGTGATGCCACAACAGGTTATATTGTGAATGTCGTGAGGGAAAAAGGTGAAGAAGCTGTGAGGATTCCTCCAAGCATTTCGTCGAAATTGAAAGCCCATCAGGTTTCATTCTATCCTATGCAGGTTTCCATACTTAGTTTAGTGGTCTCATTAGTTGGTTGCGTCATTCTGTTTCTTGTATCCAAACTGTAATTACAGTGCTTGAAAACTTAGTGCGCTACCCTTCAGGGTTCTTAACCCACCACCTTGTCAAAGAACCATCTCAATCCAACAACTTAAGCTTTTAGGTGAGGTCTCAAGATATAATTTTATATTATTCTCCAACACACCCCCTCAAGTGAAAGTGCTTTGGGCTTGAAACTTGTACAGGCATACATTACCTTGTGCTTAATTTTTATCAAATAAATAGGGATGATGAGATTCGAACTTGAGACCATTTAGTCATTAAGGCTTTGATATCATGTCAAAGAACCATCTCAACCCAACAACTTAAGCTTTTAGGTGAGGTCTTAAGATATGATTTTATATTATTCTCCAACACACCTTGCTCAAAATTAATTTTTGGTTCTCAACTTGCTTTCTTATTATTCCAGCAATTAAGATTTCAGCACATTTTACATCAGCAGGCATTAAATATGGGCATTTAAAGTGTAGGAAGCGAGGGCCTGAATGGGGGTCCATTTGATGTGCTTCCTTGTCAAATGTTACAGCTCTTATTTTTCATTCTTATTTCTATTTTATTATAAATGTTTCTTTTTATTGCTTACCCAAGTTGATTTGAGATTGCAGGTGGCAGGGATAAGATTTTTGTGGGAAAATATTATACAGTCAATTGGAAAAGCAAGGTCTGGTGATAAAGGTCTTGGTTGCATTTTAGCGCATATGATGGGCCTTGGTAAAACTTTTCAGGTACTCTGTTTGGTTCCTCTTTTGAATCCACTTCCCATGGGTAATATATGAGGGGATATAATGTGAGTGGTGTTGAGAATGTTTGCCACTAAATCTGATAAGTGTTAACTGGTGAGTTTTTGCCAATTTATTTCAACCTTCTAGATACGTTATTCTCTCTACCCCTGATGTCCGCAATTAAATGTTAACTCCAAATATTCTAAATTATATAATTATGTACTTAATTATAGCATGGTGAACAATCCGTTTAATGGTTGTAGTTTTAGTGGCAGTGCTAGTAATAGCAGGAACCCCTGAATGCTGACTGCCATGCCATAATTTAATTGTGCAGCATAGCATTATAGTTGTTTAATTTGGTTGGATAGATAGCTAGATTTAATGAATTGCATCTACAGGTCATAGCTTTTCTGTACATTGCCATGAGAAGTGTTGATCTGGGTTTGAGAACAGTGCTCATTGTGACTCCTGTGAATGTGCTGCATAACTGGCGCAAGGAGTTCATGAAGTGGACACCTTCAGAAGTAAAGCCACTCCGTGTTTTCATGCTGGAGGATGTGTCGAGGTTTTATTACATAACTTTCCCCTTTCTTTCTTTTGACTGAATGGCAAAGGAAATTGTCAAATTAATTTTACTTGTGAAGTTTCAAGTGTAGTATTATCTGAATATATGCTCTTAACTAAGCTAGATTGCAAGTTCTTTTATATGGATTGTTAATGATGGCAGCAATTCGGCATTTATCCCTTGAAAATATTGTGGAAATTGTTGTCAATGAGTTTTGGGTATTTTACTAAAAGAATAGCAAATGTACCTGATGTCCAAATATAAAAAGAAAAGCTAAGATTGCTAATATTTTTACAGCATCCACCAACTGATCAGGCAATGTCATGTATTCTTTACCCGTGTTCTAATCTGTGAGCTCACTTTAATTTTTACACTTGTCTTGTGAGGTTTAACATATCGAGATCCATTTTATTTTCTTAGAGTTTGAGCGCAATTGGGGAGAAAAATCAATTTTGGTGTTTCTTTTGTTGGAAAAGATACAAAAATGGAAAGACTGACATCTAATTAATCTAGGTCTGGCTATTGTGAACTATTGATAGTTTAGGTATCCGGCAGAATATCTTGAATATTTTACATAGAAAGGTTTAGTCAAGGCAGTGTCATTATATCCAGTTTAGGATTAGATAATAAGTCCACCTCACTCACTCACCCCCTCTTTCTCTCTTTCTCTCTTACACTCTCTCTTTCTGTTTGGATCTTCCATTCTGAACCTTTTTAATTTACTGTTGGTTTCTGGCATTAGGGAGAGAAGAGCGGAATTGCTTGCAAAGTGGAGAGCTAAAGGTGGTGTATTCTTGATTGGCTACTCTGCCTTTCGGAACTTAACCCTTGGAAAGAACGTGAAGGAACCAAAACTGGCTAGAGAAATTTGTAATGCCTTGCAGGTAATTTGTGTCTTAACCTTCCGCTCAGTCCGTGCTTTGAATCACTCAAGACCAATCATTGATCTTGATACACACAATTAAACATTGCATTGATGAAAATTGCTTTTCTAATATCAGGATGGACCTGATATACTTGTTTGTGATGAAGCTCATATAATCAAGAATACCAGGGCTGATACAACCCAAGCACTGAAACTCGTGAAATGCCAGAGAAGGATAGCATTAACTGGATCACCTCTTCAGAACAATCTAATGGAGTATTATTGTGTAAGTTGGTCAAGATGATTAAAGATTCTGATTCTCTAGTCAAGGGTATGCTTCTTATAGGATTTATTATCCGAAACAGATGGTTGATTTTGTAAGAGAAGGTTTTCTTGGCAGCAGCCACGAGTTCAGGAATCGGTAAACTTTATATCTGACATTTTTCTGGCTGCTTTCTCCTTTTGACCTGCTCCAGTACATCTTAATTAGGTGTTCTCATGCTTGCAGTTTCCAAAATCCTATAGAAAATGGACAACATACTAATTCAACGGTTGATGATGTAAAGATAATGAACCAAAGATCTCATATTCTCTATGAACAATTGAAAGGGTTTGTTCAAAGAATGGACATGAGTGTGGTGAAGAAAGACCTGCCACCTAAAACTGTATTTGTAGTGGCTGTAAAGCTCTCGCCATTACAGAGGAAATTGTACAAGAGATTCCTTGATGTGCATGGGTTCACAAATGGCAGGGTTTCGAATGAAAAGATGAGGAAGAGCTTTTTTGCTGGTTACCAGGCATTGGCTCAGGTTTGTTGTTGATTATTATGTCTGTCGTGCCTGTAGTAAGCTCTTCCTTTATGATAGATGGGCACACACTTATACATATGATATCATGTCTTTTATGTTCCATTTACCCATTTTGGTAGTACAATGTGACATATGACCATGTGTATGTGTATGTAACACCCATCAATACAACTTAAAAGTAATACCCCTGTCTTAAAGTCTTATAAAATTGATTTGGTTTATCTGGACATTCAATTGCTTAAACTTTAAAGTTATATATCCATTATTTCACAGTTTTCTTTCATGCAGTCAAAACCAAATTACCGAGGTTTCCTCCCTGACTATTTTTGTTGAAGAATATTGCTAAAGTTGACATAATAAATAGTTTGGCATTATGAAAGAAAACTTAGAAAACCAAAATTGGCTAAAACTTTTGCTCAATTTTAATGTGCAAACTTGTGTCAACTACCAGTAAAGAATATGATCATTTTACTGTAGGTATTGTTACCAAATTCATGGGACATTTGGGTCGTGGTACAGGGTTTGGGAATTACATTTGCAGATATGTGAATTCACGATATTTAGGGGGCATTTAGTACATTGATCTGTGGTTAGTAGCAGGCCATTGGTTATATTTTGATCATTACCTAGTTAAATTTACTTGACTTTAGAAAAACTCTTCCTTAATTAGTTCTTTTTTTCTTCTTAGAACAATAGGATATTCTTTTACTTTTGTTGGAATGATTCGGGCCTCTATTAAAAGTTGGAAAATGAGTAAACAAGTTACAAGTAAATAAAATATAGGAGTAATGACACCAAAAAAGGATATTATATCACCGCCCCTGGAAAGAATTAGGATTTTTTGGTGTTTTTATACACATCCTTGATCCCACTATCTCTACAATTTCCCCATCCCCTTCATTTCTCTTTCTTCTAATGTACAAAATTCAAAACAGACTCCTTGTCTTCTCAAAGGGACTCCAACCTAGTGCTAGAAAAAAAGAAAAAATAATTCTCCTCTGCTGCCTTCTCACCCCCATTTCCATGAATCTGAACACATTTGAGAATAGAGGAGAGAAAGCAGAATAGGATGAAATTTTACTTCTTTTCCTAAGCATTGGGTTAGAGTCTTTGAAAAGATAAAGAGTTGTTTTTGAATTTTGTATATTAGAAGACAAAGAATAGAAGGGGAAGGGGTAGAGATAGTGGGATTGTAAATTGTGTAAAAATCAGCTAAAAACCTATTCATTCCTTTGGCGCATCAATATTAAATCCTTTTCTTTTTAGTATCAGTTACTTCTATATTTTATTTACTAGCAACTTGTCTTTGCATTTTTCAATTTTATTTAAGGTCAGAATCTTTTCCAAATGAATAAAATAAAATAATTATAATAATTTATTTTTTTGGGATAAAAACTAACTGAGGAAGAGTTTTCTTAAGACAAGTAAATTTAATACTGTAATTGGTCAAAGTATAAGAACTAATTGCCTACTACAAACCACAAATTACCATAATAACTACCCCATACACATCATAAAGGCACGGATCTGCAGATTACATTCCTGAACCCTGTAACATCTCTTGAATCTGGTTCTGGTTGGTGGGCGTAACTGTATTTCCTTGAAGATCTTAACTCATTGCACATAAAGAACCCTCTATACATCCATGCTTTTACATTTTCTACAAAAATAGACAAAGATTCAGGTTAGTTTCTCATATGTAAGATTTTCTATGAAAAATGGATCATCAAATCATACAATCCTGATCATGCTGGTGCATGATCTAGTATGTGATTCACTATGTTCTGGATCGTTCATTCTGAAACGAAAAATGTGAGTGATTTCATGAATTGAGTAGCACTCTGTAGAAGTTGCAGTGAGCATTTAGAAAACTACAGGGTACAACAGATTATTTGTGCCACAGCGTTTGTGGAAGGTTTAAGTGAATAGGATTCGTTGTGATGGGAGTAAAATGTTGTATATATGGTTGTTGTGAGTTCATTTTGATTTGTGAAAGATTTCATGCATAGCTGGTTCTTCGACTTGAAAAAAATTATCTAATGATTCCTGCAAAAAAACATATTTGTAATTGGATTTTGCTAGTATCTGGCACCTTTTGTCTTTATATTTGTTTGTATTTTCAATTTTCTGCGGTCTCCATTTTAGATGACTTTGGTAGGTGATATGTAGAGGCTTCTAGCCATTTTTTTTACAATAGCTAGTGGAAGCAAACATCTGAAATGGTTACTACAGTTTCTCTGAGAGTCTAGTTACAGAGAATAAGGGAGTTTGTTTAAATTTTATTGATGTTGTCTTTAACTGTTCACTCAATTGTTGAAGGAATGGAGTGGGTTCCATATATCTAAGGCAAATCTTACTGAGCAAGATGGAATGCTGTCATTATCATCAGTCCAATTCTCAGTCTTATTTGCAATTAAGATATTGTAGCCAATGTTAAAAAGGCTGGCTGAATCAGCTTTCAATGATGCATGTTTAAATTAATTTGTCCTTTTGTTCTCTTGTTTTAATGAGCTTTTCATTGTTCATTGCAGATATGGAACCATCCTGGAATATTGCAATTGAGGAAAGGTAGAGATTACATTGGCCGTGAGGACAATGTTGAGAATGTTCTTGCAGATGACTGCTCTAGTGATGAAAATGTAGATTACAATACAATTGTTGGAGGTACTCTATTTCACAATTATATCATATTGCTTAGCAGTTCATGCTTGTGTTTAGAATTCATGGATATCATTCTTCTACAACCAGATCCACCTAAGTTCTCCATGTATGGTGATGTGTCTATTTTTTATTGCCTTTTGTGCTTGCAGAGAAGTCAAGGAATCAAAATGATGTCGTTCAAGGGAAAAGTGATGATGGATTTTTTCAAAAGGTGTGAGAATAAACAAACACCAATCAATCACTGTTCTTTACTGAAGTTTTCTGAAATTGCTGAATTCTCTCCCTCTTGTTGATTGAATAAATGTTTTCCTTCGTTTTTTTTTTTTTTCCTTTCCAGGATTGGTGGAATGATCTTCTGCATGAAAATAATTATAAAGTGATTGATTATAGTGGCAAAATGGTATTGCTGCTTGACATTTTAGTCATGTCTTCTAATGTGGGTGATAAGACATTGGTTTTTAGCCAGAGCATACCCACTTTAGATCTTATAGAGCTTTATCTTTCAAGATTAACTCGACATGGGAAAAAGGGAAAATTCTGGAGAAAAGGAAAAGACTGGTATAGGTGCGCATATACAGCTATGAAGTGCTTTCACTCGTGGTTTCTCTGCTTTTTCATGATATAGATTTGAAGTTATTTATATGGACTTCATATGTCTTCATAATTGCAATAAGAGAATAATAGTTTACTTCCTTTCCTGTACCCAACAGGCTAGATGGAAGAACAGAGAGCTCTGAAAGGCAAAGGTTGGTTGAGAGGTTCAATGATCCCGAGAATAAGCGGGTCAAATGTACTTTGATTTCTACTAGGGCTGGTTCTCTTGGGATTAATCTCTATGCTGCTAACCGGGTGGTTATTGTTGATGGCTCTTGGAATCCAACGTATGATCTTCAGGCCATATATCGGGCTTGGAGGTGGGATCCATCTATTGTTTTTATTCAACTGAAACATGCCCTCTTTTGTCATGATTGAACCTAAAATTATCATTTTTCAGGTATGGCCAGACTAAGCCAGTGTTTGCTTACAGATTAATGGCACATGGAACCATGGAGGAAAAAATCTATAAGCGTCAGGTGATGGAATTACTACTTGTAGCATTAAATTAGCCTGTATTCTGAGTACTTTTAATGAAGAGAATGATTTAATCAGGTCACAAAGGAAGGACTTGCTGCAAGGGTGGTTGATAGACAACAAGTATATAGGACCATGTCCAGAGAAGAAATGTTGCATCTATTTGAATTTGGTGATGATGAGAAATCTGACACTCTAAATGACATTAGCCAAGAATATAGACATGCAGATACCAGGAATGTTACCTGCCAAACCGGAAATTCTTTGAAAGAGAACATTCCTTGTTCTCATGGAAGCTGCTCATCTGATAAGTTAATGGAAAGCTTGCTTGACAAGCACCGTCAGAGGTAGTGTTTTTTTTCTTTCGCTAGAAAAGAAAAATAGTTTCTTAGCTTCAGTCCATTTTGGATGCTTACATTCAACCCTGTCATTTGGAACAAGGTTGGAACGTAGGAATATCTGATTGAGAGTATATTGATAACTGATTTCTGAGCCACAATCTTTCTTCTTTTTTAACATGTCATAGACTGAATTATACTTTCTTCCAGCAGTTGGAGTAGGTTTTTGAATCACTCAATACAGTAATAACTTCGACTGCCTATTGGTACTTTCTTTCATGCATTTATTTCACTTCATAAAAGCTTAGCTTCTGATCTTCTTCCTTGTCTTTAGGTGGATTTTTGATTACCATGAACATGAGACTCTTTTGCAAGAGAATGAAGAGGAAAAACTAACAAAGGAGGAGCAAGACATGGCTTGGGAAGTATACAAGAGATCATTAGAATGGGAAGAAGTGCAGCGAGTTTCCCTTGATGACTCTACATATGAGCGAAAGCCACAAATGTCAAACGGGGCATCTTCTGCCCTAGACTTTAGCAGCATATCTGTGCCAAGCATGGCCCCTCCTGCATCTGAGGCTTCCAATGCAGCACCATCCAAGAGCATTTTAAGGAGTCGTGTGGTGCAGCGGAAATGCACTAATCTCTCTCATTTGCTAACCCTAAGAAGTCAGGGCACAAAAGCTGGGTGCACTACCGTCTGCGGGGAATGTGCCCAGGAGATAAGTTGGGAAGATCTGAATCGGGAGGGTAAGGCAGCACGGTAAAGGCATCATCCCTTGATTTTTTTTCTTTTCATGTACGCTATATATCTAGTGTAATGTATTTTGATTGTAAAGGGAAGCAGCTGCAAGTTCAAATTCATTTGTTTTGGTAGATAATATTGGCAGGCACATTCTAGCTCATCTTTTTGGCCCCTTTCGTTCTTTGAGGGTACAGAGGAACAGGGATTTTGGGATGGTTGTAGATAAATTGGAGGGAATGAGCCTGTGTAAATCTCAGCTCATACGATCCTTTTCGATGTAGGAATTGTTGTGGAGGCAGTTATAGTCAAGAAAGTAGTTCCACTAATTTCCAACACTAATCCTTTCAAAATATGTTAATAAATGTTCTTGTATGTTCTTCCATCGTTTCACTGGATGTTCCCGAGTCTATTTCCAATGCGCAATTTAGATTCCTGTGGTAGGTTCTTGGTAGAGTTGGAGCAACTACACGCTGCTTACATATCAGCATCAAGATTAGCTTTTCTCTGTCATTGTAATTAAAAACTTGCTTGTCTGATGAAAAGCATCTATCACCGTTTTAGCAACACAATTATAGCAAGTTCGTAGCATTTTCTGCACACTTTTCCGTTAGGTTTTCGCCAATTCTTCTCTTGTGGAGGACGTTGGTGCTTGATGAACTAGCATCAATCTTGATATAGGATTGTTACACGCAGGTCAATGATGGTACTCGCTAGCAGCCAGCCTCACTTGTGTAATGGTTGGCTGCCTTTCTCATGGATAGTTCTCTCTCTACACAACTACAAGTATATTCACCTACACTTCCCAGCAGATCAATATCAATACTAATTTTTTTTTAAATATAAAAAAATATGTTAAATATATAGAAAATAATTTAAGCGTAGTCTTGGGTTGGATCTGAGCAAATTGAATTTGACAATTATTATAGAATTGAATTTGACAATTATTATATACCCTGTCAAATTCAAATGAATTATGTCAAATTCAAATGAATTATATTTGAGATGGCTGTTGGATCTAATTTATTGGGAAGCCTATGAATAATAATAATAATAATAATAATAATAATAATAATAATAATAATAATAACAACAACACTAACAATAATAATAATAGTCCAAGCAAATAACAAATAAAAAAAGGATAATTATGTATTTTAGTTGTTAGAAAAAAAAAATATAATTAATCAATAATTGATGGCAATTATATTTACACGTGCCGCTCTACGTTGAAGAGAAGAGAGCATGATTATGCATCTAGTTATAAAACAAATGATCAAATTTAGCTAAATTTAGTTTTCGAGAAGCGTTTCATGTGTTTTTTTTATGACAAAGACGCTTTCCACAATTTTTTTTTATTTATTAAAATAATGTCATTTGAGATTTTTTTTTAATTATAAAATTAAAACAATATTATTTTGTTATTTTATTAAAATAAAGTTGTTCTCATAAAAAAAAGAATATTAAACATGAAATCCAGTTCGATCAAAGTTTTAAATATACAAGTCATTGAGTTAAACCACTAGGTATGTAGGATTCTGTATCTAATGATCCCAAACAAAACAAGAATTCCATACAAGCTGCTCAACATCTCTTTATTATTTACTGTAATTTATGGTGGAGCTGCCTCCTCTTTTGGCAAATGCATGATTATTTTACGAAATTATAGTGACAAGTCTTCATTAGAGAGACTTATGACCTTCCAATATGTGGGGTAACATTACGACCTTTTAAGCTGACCAGATAAGTCTAATTTATTGTGGTGGGTGAAGAAAATGGCCTCACCTCATTTCTTGTTGCGCATTGAGGTGCCTCTCTTAGGCCTTTTTCTTGCCTTCATTTTCTTCTCAGAGCTGCTTCCATTATACAGGGACTCTTCATCGCTGACAGAGGTATATGGAGCTCCATATAGTCCATATGGAGGAGGAGGTGAATGATGAGAGTCAAGAAGAATGGTACCATTCCTCATGATCACCTGTTTTCTATGAAAGTTTCTATGGCAACCACAAGCTTCACAGATGAAAGCTTCTTTAGTCCCTTGATCTCCATTTGGAGTGAACTCTCCACAACCATCAACAGCGTGGCCACCAGTCAAGACGGCATGGTTCCGCCAACACTCTCTATACTCGGCGATTATTCTTGATTCTTCATTCAGAGGCTTGGATTTTGAATCACTATTAGCCATGGGAGAGAGGCTGGAAGGGTATCTGTGCTAATATGTCTGACTTTTCTCTACATTTCTTGCAAGTGTCATAACTTATTATAGTTGTAGAATACACTTTCTTTTACTGTCGACAGTATGTGGTTGGTGCTTTTTGCTGCATGGTTTAGAAAAGGCGAAGGTTTGGTGAGGGCCAAAGGACTCAAGATGCATCTGTCAAGATCACTGAGAGATAGCTTTTGCCGATTTCTTGGTTTAACTTGCAAGTTGTTAGAAAGTTTTGTCAGCTTATGGAAGTACCTAGAATTGGTGCATTTATTTCCCTCCCATTGACTCTTTCTTTGAAAATGCAGGATTCTATCATTGTAAATGAATTTATACTCAAGCATGCAAGGATTCTTAGGGGAAGAAAAACTAGCCAAAAAAGGAGTACTGTAAATGATGTCGAAAAACAGGTTTGAAAAATCATGTATCCTGTCCACACCAATAATGATGTCAGAGTTTTTCTGGTTTCAGGGTTTGACAGCAGACCATTGTCATTTAGTAGGTGGACTATTTCATCAAGTGATGAGGCCTGTATGCCCTGAAGAGAAGGCATATTTACAGTCATATTGTATAAACCTTACCCGGCTGCCCCTGCCATTATCTTTGACAAGTGAAATTGTAACTCAACAGAAGGGAAATTGAGGGCTTGTAACGTTTCCTTGTATCCCCAGAAGAAATAGCACATTGACAAGAGAAATGATAGAAAAATGAGCCCGAGTTGCAAAAAAGAAAAACAGATATCTATTATCCTTTGATATTATAGTGCAAATCCTCCTTCACCAGCCTTGGCCATTAGGTTTATGCACAAAAATCCCCAACAAACAATAAGTACATCATTCATCATGTACAAAGAAACAACCTTTTCTCTCACAGTATACAGAAGCAAAATGTCTACTAGCAACCAGGGATCATAAAAGAAAAAGACGTACAAGCACCATGACTTATTTCAAGTCATTTTCAACTTTCGTTTTGTGCTAAAAAGAGACGGGACAAAAAATCTCGTTGTCATCTTATAAATATGATTGACTGTCCACAGAGCTAAGATGACAGACTTTGTGATTTCCACACCTTTTCTTGTTATTGCGCCCACCGCAAGTAATGGAAATTTCACACCCGAAGGCATTGCCAAAACATGAAAACAACCGCCCACCTTCTGACCTGCGCCTGTGCTTCTTGTTTCTGCTTCTCGACTGCATCTTCCGCAGATCATTATCATAAACTGGAGGAAGTTCTGTTCTCCATCTCTCAAGCTTTGTTCGTAGGCCTTCGGCACTATCGTTTTCTGTCCAATCCTCAAGAATCGAGCTTCCTGCACCATCCGTATCATGTTGACCAGCATTTGCTGGTGTTTTAATCAATCCTTTAGCAATTGCTGCTGCCACAACAGACGCAGAAGGCCCCACATCAGAGCAAAGAGATCCATTGACCATGCTGCCATTGCCATTGCCATTGTCTTTAACACTAGGTTTAGCCACCGAAGAGTTAATCAACGAGCCACCAAGTGACCTGACACCACCCTCTTTCAGTCCAGATTCATCAGTGGTGGTGAGGTCAGTTCGGTCACTCTGTGTGCGTCGCAATTTCGCACCCTTTTCTTCAAGGTCTTTCCCGTTGGTTTTGGCATTAATGAGGTCATTGAAGCCAACTGCAGACGCGCTAAGTTCTGTATATAAAGGCATGCTGCGCATTGTACTGTCCAGCACCTGCACCCCCATGTTAAGGATCCCTTGAGGTCTTCCTGATGGGCGGCGAACCTGAAGTGCAACAAAGCGCATTTTGTTGTTGTTGTTGTTTGAAGGAAATAAGTTGCTGATCAGAACTCTTACAGACCCAATCTGAACATCGCGTAGCCATGCCGCAGCATAGATTTCTATCATGATAGAAGAGTTCTCAGCATTTATGAACGTGTCATCAACGCGGAACACAAACTTCTCGTTCCATTGAGGATTGATGTGGCCATTTTGGTCAACCTTGGTAGACAATTTCCTTCCTGGATGCACCCAAGCTACTGCATAAGTACGCATAGATTTGGACACAGGAGCCAGGTCTTGGCCTGATATAACATTGATTTCTAAGAGCTGAAAAGGGTGTGCATTAAAAGTCATGCTGATTGTTCCTATGGTCGTGGGGCTAGCGCTGGCTGGAGGGCGAGAATGGTAGCCTCTTCGCTAGTCTTGCCCCGCGCCAACATAGAAGGGACACAATGATCATAGATGAAAATGAAGAAACACTTGAAGGAGTTTTGTTGGGTTATAGTTCATGGGGTGCAGCGAAATGAAAGGGGGAAAATTAGTCATATAAAGTCTATTTTTAGACCTTGATTGTGTTACACTTTGACAGAGAATTTTCTGCGAGTTTGTCTCCTTCTCCATTAAATTCAGGTGACAAGCACCTGAGACTTAGAAGATTCGACCTACAATTTATCGGTCAATGATGAATATAGCTAAAAACAGTAAGGTAGAACAAAATCGAGAAGACATCCAAACCCTCCACATTTAACGAAATGCTCAAACAATTAGGTCCCATATTTGACACCAAAGAAGACTATTTAGCAGAGCCTTTTTCTTGGTGCCAACATCGCTCTTCTCTGATGGAAATGACAGAGGAGCAAGACATGGTCTGGGAAGGATATAGAGATCAGTAGGAATGGAAGAAGTGCGGTGAGTCGGATCCTCAATGATTCTAGATCTGAGTTAAAAGAAACCATTTTGCTCTAGATACCGGCAGCCTAGCTACTACCTGTGTCAAGCATCCCTCTCCTCCACCTGAAACTTCTTCATCCACTGATCCTTCCAAAGCCATTGCAAGCAGTCGAAGGGTGCAACCAAAACGAGCTAATCTTTCTCACCTGCTAACCTTTAGATGTTAGGACACAAAACCTTAATAGCGATTAGGGAAGATAGAGCGAAGACTAAAGAACATTGCCCCACACTTCTGCTCAACAAATTCTTTTCCTTTTGGTAGCTCACCAGACAAGCGGGCCAGGTAGAAAATATGTTAAAGGCGCGCTGGTTTTCTGGAGAAGCAAGAAACATACGTTTAATAATCCTGTTTAATTTAAAAATATGATTTAAAAAAAAAACATTGTATATAATGTTTACAAAAAAAACCAATAATTAACCCAAAATAAACTGTTAGTATCAGATAGAGAGAAGAGGAAACAAAACCCCATTAGAGACATACTGTGAGCACTGTTTAATCATTAAAAAAAGTTTATTGGGAAGATTCAAATGCTATTTTAAAAGGATATATGATGATATTTAAAAAATAAATTAAATAAAATATCATGTAATATGAGCATTTCATGTTTATATTTAATTAATTAATTTAATATAATTAAAAAATAAAAATATCTAAAATTAATAAAGAATAATAAATAAAATAACATAAAATAACCATGTCATTATCAAAATTAGTAAAAACTTTTATAGAAAAAAAATAAAATTAGGAGAAAAAACCTTAAGAAAGATGAAAGTGCAAATTTTTTTTTTAAGAATCATCTCATATAAAACAAATATTAATTAAAAGAATGGAAATCAAATATAAAAGATAACAAAAATACAAGAAAATGAAATTGAGAAAAAAAATAATTTTATAAATTATTCCAAATAAAATAAATAATAATTAAAAGAAAAAAAACCAAATATAAATAAATAATAAATTGAAAGGTTCTTTTCAAATTTTACAACGTCAACACAAAAATAAAAAAAATAAAAAATAAAAAGATAGCATATGTTAAATTAGAGATGTCTTTCTCTCACTCACAATGCAATAGCTGACTTAAGTTATAAAAAATTAATATTTATATTAAATCAATTATCACTTGACCAACAAAAAAAAATAAAAAGATAAAATACGCCAAGACTTAAGTTATTAAAAATTTATTTTCTAAGATGAAATAAATCATTGCATAATTTTAAAAAATAAAAAAAATAATAAAGCTCCCCAAACAAGATTTAGAAAAATTCTTTATTTTAAAAGTAATTAAGTAATTTTATCATGTGATTGTCATTTTATGGAGTGAAGAGAATATAAAAAAATAATAAAGCTACTCAAGCATAGTCATTATTTGTTATTTATTTATTTATTATTATTATTTTTATTATTATTATTTATTTTGTGGTCACCAAACATGTTGAAGAATCTCCATGGGATGGAAAATGAGAGTATAACTTGTGATGGACATGCCACCAGCCTTCAAGATAATTTATCCTATTCTTTATATCCTATTCTTTATTTTAAAAGTAATTAAGTAATTTTAAAAAATAATAAATCATTAGGATAATAAGTCTTTTTATCCCTGTTCAATTCATATTTATTATTAAAATAAATCAACTCCATTTATGGAGTGAAGAGAAAAATAGAAAAATAATCAATTCACTATTATAATTTAAAGTATATTTTCTCACAGGCCGCGGTTCATGCCTGCTGCCTAATTCATTTATTTTTTTAAAACTCTAAACTCTACCCAAAAATATGTATAGGCTTATTATCCTAATACTGATATTTATATATAAGCTAATTAATATGAAGCTTTTAATTGTGAACATATGCTACAAAATTTAAAAAAAATATGATGATAAAATATAAAAATAATTTTTTTGTGTTTTAAAAATATTTTTGGAAAAAACTAAATTTTATTTATTTATTTTAAATTAATATATTTTTAGTGTTTTCAAATTATTTTTATGTTTTAATATAAAAAATAATTTTTAAAAAATATAAAAATATTATTAATATATATTTTAATATAAAAATTATTTAAAAAGTAATTATAACCAGCAAAACAAGCTGTACAATATATCCGTTAAGTTATGAAATGTACTAAAAATTAATTCATTTTGTGTGTATGCTTAGAATTAATTCTAAATCAGGTTTATCATTTAGTAGTTTGTGATAAATAAGATGTAATTGAAAAAAATAAATTAAAATGATAATAAAATGAAATAATGTTATTTTATTTTTTAAAATATTTTTTATATTAGTATATCTAAATAATTTAAAAATAAAAAATTTTAATTTGAAATAACAAAAATTAATATGTTTTTAGAAACACCTTTTATAAAGTATTATGGACCTGATTGTGTCAGCATTTCCTTTGACAGGTAAATCCAGCCGTCCACGTCCCCAGGCATGATCCCAACCGTTAATCCCCGCTAATTATCTTCCCCAAGCTTCTGCATTATTTGTCACAGAGAGAGAGGGAGAGAGGGAGAGTCTCTGTCGTTTTGGGCAGTAAAAATACCAAATCCCTTTCTTCAATCTTCCATATTTGTTGCAAAGTGTACATGTCGTTTTGGTCAATAAAAAACCAGACAAGGAGAAGGAAGAACACAGCGGAAGTTCGATGTCGGCGGCGAGACGTCGAGGTTCAGAAGCCTTATTTATTCAGCGATGCCAAATGAAAATAATGGGTATGATTCTTCTATCTCCAATCACTTCATCACTCTCGTCTACCAACCACTACAACTCCATTTCTTCTTTTACCAGTAGCAGTAGCAGTAGAAGTAGATATAAACATAAAAATGATGATGCTTCTTCTTCTTTTAGAAAGTTTGATGATGCCCGTGCTTCTTTCAATCACATGGTTCATAGGAAACCCCTGCCTTGTATCATCCAATTCAACAAATTATTGTCTGCAATTGTCAGAATGAGACAGTACTACGATGTTGTGATTGCCCTTTACAAACAAATAGAATTAGCTGGGCTCTCTCCTAATACTTGTACGCTTAATATCCTGATCAATTGCTTCTGCCTGATGCAACATGTTGATCTGGGGTTCTCTGTCTTGGCCAAAGTCATTAAACTTGGTCTCCAACCCACTATTATCACCTTTACCACCTTAATCAATGGGCTCTGTAAAGCGGGTGAATTTGCCCAAGCCCTGGAATTATTTGATGACATGGTAGCAAGAGGGTGTCAACCTGATGTCTACACTTATACTACGATTATAAATGGCTTATGTAAGAATGGGGAAACTGCGGCGGCTGCTGGATTGATTAAGAAAATGGGAGAGGCGGGCTGTAAGCCGGATGTGGTGACATACAGTACACTCATTGACAGTCTTTGCAAAGATAGGCTGGTGAATGAGGCTTTGGATATCTTCTCTTACATGAAGGCTAAAGGCATTTCCCCAACAGTTGTCAGTTACACCTCTTTAATCCAGGGCTTATGCAGTTTCAGCAGATGGAAGGAGGCTTCGGCAATGCTAAATGAAATGACGAGTTTGAATATCATGCCAGATATTGTCACCTTCAGCCTATTGATTGATGTATTTTGTAAAGAAGGCAATATGTTAGAGGCTCAAGGTGTGTTAAAAACAATGACTGAAATGGGCGTGGAGCCTAACGTTATTACTTACAATTCATTGATGCATGGATATTCCTTGCAGATGGAAGTTGTTGAAGCTAGGAAGCTGTTTGATGTCATGATAACCAGGGGTTGCAAACCAGATGTTTTTAGTTATAGCATCTTAATTAATGGATATTGTATGGTCAAAAGGATAGATGAGGCCAAGCAGCTTTTTAATGAAATGATTCATCAAGGCTTAATTCCAAACACTGTTAGTTACACTACTCTTATTCATGCCTTTTGCCAATCAGGCAAGCTTAGGGAAGCACGAGAGCTTTTCAAGAATATGCACACTAATGGAAACCTCCCAGATTTATGTACTTACTCTGTATTGCTCGAAGGCCTTTGCAAACAAGGGTATCTTGGTAAGGCATTCAGACTGTTTCGAGCAATGCAAGGTACATACTTGAAGCCTAATCTGGTGATGTATACCATTTTGATTGATTCCATGTGCAAATCCGGGAATCTTAACCATGCAAGGAAACTATTTTCAGAACTCTTTGTCCAAGGGTTGCAGCCTGATGTTCAGATCTACACAACAATAATAAATGGACTTTGTAAAGAACGATTGTTAGATGAAGCATTGGAAGCTTTCCGAAAGATGGAGGAGGATGGCTGCCCTCCTAATGAATTTTCTTATAATGTTATTATCAGAGGATTTCTCCAGCACAAGGATGAATCAAGGGCAGTGCAACTTATTGGTGAAATGAGAGACAAAGGTTTCATTGCAGATGAGGGAACCACAGCTTGGTAGAAGATCTGTTATCAAATGAAGACAATCCTGTTCTGAAGAAGTATCTAGGATTACATGAAGTTCGTTAAGGTGAAAAGGTGATGTAAATTTTTATTTCTCTATGCTGCAAATGCATGTGCCAAAAATCAAGAATTTTTTTGTCAATGTGGAAGTTTTTTTTTGTTCAATCTTGTCAACATCTTAACAATGACACAGGTTATTTGCCACTAAATCATTGGAATTGCTAAACTTATAGTTCATCTTGATGAATGGTTCTGGCCTTACATTGAATCAGATTTCTATATTATGTTTTCAGTAGCCAGCAAAAAGATGTTATGCAATTCGCCTACAAGATGTTTACCAAGCAAGTCTCGTTATGTGCTGGAGGCTCCCTCTGACATCTGGGATGCATAGTTTTTGCAATGCTTATAGGGAAGCAGTTCGGGATTTCAATCCTGAAACCACCACAGAAGAACTTCTGAGAAAGATTGCTCATGAATTGATGAAAATTCCTCCTGATGTTTCCAAGGATGCAAGAGATGTCTAGTGAGGAAGCCTATGTTCAGATTGTCTGCTGAGAAGTTATTAGATCATCCTCTTGTGTCTGGATTTGATAGCAGAGAATTGGCAGACTTTTCAGATGCAGAAGGGGCGGCGGACTCCACTGACAACGAATTCAGTGCCTCATCTTGTTCTGAAGAATGGAGTTTCACATAAGAAGAGGTCTTTTATTCCTCTTGTTGATCAGATGACGCAGAAGGGTTGATGCAAATTCTTATGATCAAGATGGCAGTATTCAAGACAAAGACAAGCAGAAAGGGGTGATAGAATTTGACAAAGATCAAGCTAGTTCCAGTAAAGGGAACCACTCTTTGCAGGCCAAACTTCCAATCTTACACTTTGGCAATAAGGAAAAATTGGCATCCAATAAATGAAGACAATCTTGTATCTTCCAGTGGCAGTTTTAACTATAATGGTCATTGTTCTTATCCTTAGCAGTTATCTATCAATAACTGTCCATTATAACTCTATTTATTGTCGAATATTGTTTCTGGTAGGATACTTTGTAATGGAAATCTACTTGTTATTTGGAGTGATTTCAATATGCTTTTGTAAACTAGGTGTACTTGGAAATCATTGTCTAGAGAATTGGTTTCTTTTCTTTTTTCTGATGAAGACGCTCTGAAGAAGCATCCAGTCTTTTTAGAAGATATCATGATGTAAATTTTTGTTTCTCCACGCTGCAAATTAACGTGGCAAATATTTAGTAATTTTGTCAATTTGGAAGTTGTTTTTCGTTCAATTCTGTCAACATCTGAACAAGGGCACCAGTTACTTTCCACCAAATCATTCGAATTGCTAAACTAACAGTTCATCTTGATGAAAGGTTCTGGCCTCACATTGAATCAGATCTCTATATCATGCTTTCTGTAGCCAGCAAGGTGTTGTTGTTATGTTAACTGAAGAAGTCTTGTTGATCATGTGCTGGAGGTTCTCAATTTGCTGCTTTCGTTTTTTTTTTTTTTATCTGAACTTTTGGTGTTTATAGGATAGTAGAGTTTATTTTTTAAAGTGTTTTTTATTTAGAAATATATTAAAATAATTTTTTTATTTTTTTAAATTTATTTTTGAAATCATCAATACTAAAAAAATAAATTTAAATAAAAATAAATTTCGAATTTTGACAAAAAAAAACATGTTAAACCTTAATGTGAAATTACAATTACATAATAAATAAATAATACTGGTGGCTTGATATCTACGTGGGGGATGTAGCTCAAATGGTAGAGCGCTCGCTTTGCATGCGAGACGTACAGGGTTCGATCCCCTGCATCTCCAAATATTTTTATTCTCGTATTTCATAAATTTTAAATATGTATTATTTTTGTATTTATGTTTCCGATGAAATTTTATTAATTCCCAATGAAATTATTTTTAATTAATATTTTTAAATAAATTAAAAAAGACAAAATTCTGAATGAAATTCCCCTAGAAAATTATGTTGGAAAATGTTTTCCAAAAACGAAAAACTAGTGTTAGAAATCAACTTTCTACAAAACTCAAATATTCCATCATATAATTTTTTGAAAGATTTAATTTCACTATGCAAAAATGAATCTAATATACCCTAACTGTTTAAAAATAAATAAAAAATTATATATATATATATATATATATATAAACCGTGTCTTGCTTCTATTTATTTTTATATTTTATAAATATTTGCTATGTGTTTTTAAAAAAAATATAATTTTTTTTTTAATTTTAAAATTAACACATTAAAATTAAAAAATATTAAAAAAATAAATTTAATAATTTTCTAAACTAAATAAATTCTTAAAAGACAAATAAACACAATTCTAATCCACAAAAAAACAAAAGGTAAATGTTGAACGAGGTCTGCCAAGGTCAAAGCTCTCTCTCTCTCTCTCTCTCTCTCTATATATATATATATATATATATGATGCTGTTGTGTTTGACTGATTTTGTGACAAAGCAGAACGGTTGGTAAATACGAAGAAATCATCATCTCCGTCTTGTAATGATTGACTGCGTTGTTTGTTACCTTGATATATGCCGGGTTAATAAATTGCCATACATGTAATATAAATAATAAAATAAAATTATTTAGAAGCTTGTAGAATTTGTTTGAACATGTTTAAAATTATAGAAAGATTTATTATTTATTTAAAAATTTAATTTTTTTATTTTAAATAAATTTTTAAAAGTTACTATAAACCGTTCAATTATTCAATTTTTAATTGTAATTCACGTGTATTATTAGTGAAAAATATCTTAAATTTTTATCTAGAAGCTCTGAAGAACTACTGTGCCTAATGTATTAGCTCTTTTTTTTTTAGAATGACATAGTTTTTTTTATTTAACATATTAAATAGTCATTTTATCTAACATATTAAATGTATTATCTAGTAATTAGTTATAATCCTTCAAATATTAAAAAAGTCATTAGTGATTTGATTTTATTTTTTAATGAACAGTTTACTAGTATAATTAATATCTTTTTATCAATAATATTTTGATTTAATGTTAAAGTATGAAGTATGTCTGCCATATTAAATCATGTTTGCTCTTTATATAATAATCAATGATCATTTGAATAAGATTTCAAACTCTTTTTAAATTTTATTCCACTTTAACCAAGAATTTCTAAGTTAATACTATTTGAGAATAAATGAAATATTTTTTCTAATTTACAATTTACTTAGAATGATGAATCATATCTTAATCACTTAAGTATTTTTATATAGTTAATTAAAATAACATATAACAGAATTACAATATAACATTCTTTATATAAGATAATTTAGTAATCTCAAGGTTAAGAGTTACATACATAATTGTCACTTAAGTATTTTTATATAGTTAATTAAAATAACATATAACAGAATTACAATATAACATTTTTTATATAAGATAATTTAGTAATCTCAAGGTTAAGAGTTACATACATAATTGTCACGCGAACTTTTTCATATTTATAGATGATCTTTCAATATAAAATTCTCATGCGGATCAGTTCAGTATATATTTCTTATAGCAAATACTTATGTATTAGTTCTAGATATCTCTTACACCATAACTTATAAAAACAATCACTTTCTTTCATAAAAAAATAACATAATATATATCGATTTTTATTGCTATAATAAATATCCAGTATTAAAAAGAGTATTGACTTAAAAGATTTTAGAAATAATACTTTGATGTAATTAAAATCTTATAAAAAGAGTATTGACTATGAAGATTTTAGGAATAATACTTTGATGTAATTAAAATCTTATAATTATAATAATTTTATAATTTTCTTTGCAAAATATTTTTGTCCCATGAATTTTATTTTTATTTTAGATTTACAAATCAAATATTAGATTAACTTATCTACTATTTTATAAATATTAAAAATTAATTAATTTTTAATTAATTAAAAATATATATTAACATGAATTTAATAATATCATATATAATCAGTCAATCAATTTATTATAGAACATATTAAACTAACATCATTTTCCTTTAAAAATATGCAAGTTTTAAACCACACAGATTCACAAGAAAAATGAAATATAATCTCAGCTGACAACCTTTTGTTTTCTATTGTTGCAAAATATTATTTGATGTTATCCATCCTTATGTTTATTAAACTAATTTAAGAATAAAAATAAAAGTCTCTTATTTAAAGTTCCATTAATATTGTTATTAAATTTAGTTTAGTAGATTAATTTAAAATTGATCAATTCATTTACTAACTCTAGTAAACTTTTTTTTTTATAAAAAAAATCAATTAAGAGTTGATTTATAGTCAGTTAAAACACTCGAATTTTTTTCTCAACCATGTTATTTTAATTATTTTTTAATAAAAAATTGATTAACCTTAGTCAACCATTTTGTCACATAACCAACCTGGGTATTGCTTCAGGTTGATCCCTTGATCAATTTTAATGAGCAATCTGAGGTACAAAAGAAGGTACTTTTGAATTAAAAGCTATAAAATAAAATAAATAAACAAATAAAAAATTATTTGAGATTTATATTGGGTTTTTAAAACTTGTTATTGATGAATCAATAAATTTACTTGTAGATTAAAAAAATTAGTCTGCATGAATATGATTTTCAAATTAAAAAAAAAATCTCATGTAATTTGTGAATCAAACTTAGATTTTAATTCAAGTATGATTGAGGTGATCACAAAGTATTTTTCTTAATTACTTTGGATCAAATTCTAGTTTAATTAATTAAGACACTCACTTAGTTAAATTTAGTTGATTTTGCTAAGTTTTTATTAATTTAATTAACCTAGACAAGCCACTACTTTGTAAACAAATAAATAAAAATATATTATTTTAATATAAATATTCCATCCAATGATTTCATGAATTAGTGTCTATTTATTAACATACATAATGTTTTTACAAAATACTTTTTATTTTTTTAATATTAGTATATTAAAAATGTTTAAAAAAATCTTTAAAAAATAAGAGAGCAACCCTAACTTTTTTTTTTTGAAGTCAAGCATTGTTTTTTTTTTTTGGTTTTTCTCTTTAAATTTGAGTGTGTTTGGATTAAAAATAAAAATTAATATTTGTAATAATTTTAATATACTGATATTAAAAATAAAAATTTTAAAAAATAAATTTAAGTATATTTTCAAATAAAAAATAATCTTTACCAAAATACATAATCTTACATAAAATTATACATATCACATTTAAAATTAAAAATAAAAATAGTAATAAAAGCTAAAGGAGATGTGAAGAATTTTTAGTATCGTGGTAGGCTGTTTTTAATGTATTATTTACTTAAAAATATATAAAAAATATTTTTTTTAATATTAATATATCCATGTAATATAAAAATATTAAAACATATTAATATAAAATTAAAATAAAAAATTCAATTTTTTAAAATATTATAAAAATACCAAAACAGACAGCTATCGGCAAACAGAGAAGTACCGGAAGAAACAAACAATAAAGCTAGGCCCCACCATGTTTTTTTAGCAGCCGTCAAATTCCCATGCACCACCGCAGAGGTTTGCTTGCTGCGTCCTCCAAACATGACCCTCCAAACTGACCCGAAAATCCATCAAACCATCTCAATCAAGATCAACGGCTAAAAGTAATGAGACAAAACCTGAAGACATGCATTTGTATTACCTAACAAACACTAGAAAACTAAATTACAATTTCCCTCATGATTGAAAGACAACAAGAGAGAGAAGACAACAAGGGAGAGTTTTGTAAGTTTCCTGAAATTTAGAAGACAAAAGTTTGCATCTTTTTTCAATATTCTTCTTCTTCCACAATATTGAGTTCTTATCCAATAGTAGAAAACTTCAATCTTTGCTTTCATTCAGTTTTTGGTGAGTTTTTATGAGCCTATTTAGAGCTTTTTTTGGGTTTGAAGTTCTATACTTTATGTGGATCATCTTGAAATTTTGATGATATTGTTTGTTTTAGCTAATGAAGATTGATGCCCAGATTTTTTTTTTGTCAATTTCACTGTGTTTTTTATGAGGTTTTGGTTGATTGTGAGATGGATTGCTAGCTCATTTATTGCCTTTCTGTGTTGTGAGTTTACTTCGAGTATTTTTGGTATTGGTGTTTTAATGTGATTTGATTCATCTTGAGCCGACTTCAGTGATGGGAGTTGTTTTGGGGTGGTTGGTATTGGTTTTTTTTTTTTCCGGTGGAAATTATGGTTTTGATGTGTTGAACTTGATGATCATCTCTACCAGCGATGGAGTTTTGATGGTTTATGCTAGTGACTTCTGCAGATTTTAGTTTCTAGGGTGTTTGTATGGATGTTATTTGGTTTTGAGCTAATTGTAACTGATTGAATTGGATTGTGTAGTGTGATTGATTTATAGGATCGTGTCTTTGTTTATGTTGCTTTTTTTCCTCCAGTTTTCTTTGATAATTCTTTCTCAAGTGTTTATGTGAATATTATCATCTGAACAATTTTTCTTTCTTAATTCCTTATGATATTTTATGCGGTTTCCAACACATGTTGAATTAAATTGATGAGATGTTGAGACTGACTGTTTCCATTCCAATCATATCATGTCCTTTAGTAATGTATTTAGTTGCATACGCTTTACAGCTCCTGGAAAGTAGGCTTTATATTTTTTGAAATGCTGTGGGTTAACAGCTTTGGTGACTGGAATGAATGTCAATGTTTTGGATTTGTTCTTTTTCTTCTCAGAGGTGCCAGAATCAAATTTCATTCCTGGTGTCTTCTATTGGTTCCACAGCGGGAAACATTTAAATTTGTGTCTGGTGTTTGTGTTGCTGGCGCTGCACTGGTTTCATTCTCTGCATTTGTCACTCAGTGATAAGGTGCGAGCCAACTTTCATTTGCTGCCTTAGTTACTCATGTTTAGGTGTAAATCAGCTGGGAAACTTCAGTGTTTCTGAGCTGATGTCGTCATCTTTTCTAGTTCTTCCTGGTACTGCTGAAGAAAAGTATTCCAAATTGATTGATTCTTTTCAGGTTTCTTCTGTAAGGGAAATGATTAGAAATCCAGCATCTCAGCAAGCATCACCACTGAGTTCTGGTAATGGGAGTGTTGGGCACTTGGTTTCATCATCTTCTAGATTTACAAATGATATGAGTGTTTCAGCAGTTTCACCACAAGGAAAGCAGTCTCATAATTCTCCATTCATTTCTCAGTCACTAAGGGACGGAGGAAATTTTCCACCAACCCATTATTCTCATTCAGAAGGGCTATCCACAGCATTCATTAATCACTCTGATGACAACAAGGATCTCTCCTGGGCTATAGATCCACTTCAGGACTTCCTTAATTTCGTTGAAAATGTCCCTGTCCAGAATGGTCAGGTGGAAAGCACTGCTGGTGTCATTGCCTCGGAGGATCATGCAAAGAGAACAGACTGGCAAGAGTGGGCAGATCAGTTGATCTCTGTTGATGATGAACTGGAACCAAATTGGAGTGAAATTCTGAATGATGTCAACATGAAAGATTCCAAACAGAAGGTCTATTCCTCTTATTGTTATGGTTTTTGTTACTATACAGTAATTAGCAGCATACACAGCATAAAGATGCCTCCTTGGTGTGTTCTTGTTTTTTCACATTCTCTTGTCACTTTCATTTACTTAAAACTGTAAATAATATACCAGATGTCGAGGCCGTCTCCTAATAACTCAGTTCAACAACCCCTAATTCATCAGCATCAAACTCCTCATAGTGGAGAAGTATGTGCTGTTACTAATCCACTGTTGGTTGCACCACCAACAAAATCTCGAATGCGCTGGACACCAGAACTTCATGAGGCTTTTGTGGAAGCTGTCAATCAGCTTGGGGGTAGTGAAAGTGCGTAGTCTTCCTTGTTATATTGTAACTTATATCAGAAAAAACTAGAGTGCATCTTGTCATGCGCACTTTGATTTTTGAATTACAGGGGCTACTCCCAAGGGTGTCTTAAAGCAGATGAATGTCGAAGGCTTGACTATCTATCACGTCAAAAGCCACCTCCAGGTATGTAAATCCCCTGCCTTATACTGTTTCCTCAAAAAATCTAGTTTTATATTTTACTTATTTACCTTGTATCATCTTTATATTTCAGAAGTACAGAACAGCCAGATATAAACCAGAGTCATCTGAAGGTAACCCCCAACTGCCTTCTCTTCTCTCACATTATGCAAGTTTTGCTAACCCTTCACACATACTTTATCCAAAAGCCTTTTGTAGTTGTATCTTTGCTGCCATATATTTCTTATTGTTGGATTAAGGCATAGCATGGAAAAGAATGTATTCGTATTCACCCCTCCTCTCTCTCTATGTGGTTTACGAACATGATTGTGCCACTTTCAGGAACTTCAGAAAAAAAGTTGAGTCCTGTTGAAGAAATGAAATCTCTAGACTTGAAGACGTAAGTTATCCTCTATCATGATTTCAATGTGACATTAACCTTTCTTGGTATCAAATCCGTTGTAGTTTTCGAAGTTATCCAGTAGATATATATATCACTTAGTATGGTTATAGAAGTTCACCTATATGAGTGCAGACCGTGGTTTACATTTGTAGATTTTTAACATATTTGATGACTAGAGGCCTTTTTAGCCTTCTAGGTTTCAAGTTCTGACTTTAGTTTCTAATATTTCTCCTACAACGGTGGCTGGCGGAATCTCCATGTGCTTTTACAAATGCCACCGTTGAAGGAGGGGACAGTATAGCTGAGGTGAGGAAGAGTTGGTGGAAAGGGAATGTGCAATTTTTCTTGTCTGGCAGACATTAGAGAAAATAACTTTCTCCTTAGTTACCTAAAGATGAAGAATATTTCTTCCTTACAAGCACCCACAAAAACCAATCGACTCAAAAGTTGACAGGTTAGAGAAAAAGGAGTCCAAATAAAGAGATTCACAAAACCAATCAACTCAAAAGTTGGGTGGAAAGCGAATGTGCATTTTTTTGTCTGGCAGACATTAGAGAAAATGACTTTCTCCTTAGTTCTGGTTTTAAGGAGATTTCCTAAAAACTATGGTGTTTGTGTAGCTACAAAGGTTTAGATTAGAAAGTAATAGAAACCACCATTTGGACTCCTTTTTCTCTAACCTGTCAACTTTTGAGTCGACTGGTTTTTGTGAATCCTTGAAGGAAAGTAATATTCTTCTCCTATCGGTGCATTAGTATCTCACCAGATAAAATATGAATACATCATTTTTCCTTCACTTATAAACCAGAGTGCTTTTTATAACAATGGACTACCAAGCTGAATTTAGGCTGACCTATTGTTCTAAACAGGAGTATGGGGATCTCAGAAGCTTTGCGTTTGCAAATGGAAGTCCAGAAGCAACTCCACGAACAACTTGAGGTATGATACTGGTATTTGAGCTTCTATGTCTGTGTTTTACAATTTTGATGCCAATTTCTTTTACCTTTTATGGAGCAGTCTAGGTGTAATGCTAACCTTTAGTTAAGTAACCATTAATATTAGCTTCATGGAGTGGAAATTCCACAAATGCGTGCATGGTTTTTGTAACTACTGTTGTGTGGTATGTTCTGATAATGATGTTTTATCCCCAATAGATCCAGAGAAATTTACAATTGAGGATTGAGGAACAGGGGAGGCATCTTCAAGAGATGTTTGAGAAACAAAAAAAGATGGAGGGTGACAAGTCAAAGGCTCCTCCCCCCTCCCAAAACGACCCTTCCCTTCTACAATCAAAGTTAGAGCAGTCACCTGCAAATGACAAATTAGAAGCCTCAGATCTGGACTGTGTCAAAACAAGGTTTGATACAAGTAATGCAAGTGCCTTACTAGAAGAAAGCTCCCAGAGTATAAGCAGAAAGCAAAAGGCACCAGAGGACAGAAACTGTCAGGTTGTAGACACAAATGGAGAGAAGACCAGTTTAGCACTAGTGAAACGACCAAGAACAGATGAAACAACAGCATTGACAGCGGAGCCTGCATCCAATTGAACATGTTTACTGCAATAGACAGTTTGCTGCTCCTGGAGATGATGCAGTAAGCCTTCACAGGAGTTACATGTCCCATGAGATGATGCAGGGTCACTGAAGACCAGGAAAGTTTGGAGCTCAAGTTATGTTTTCTTTGGGGTAAACATTTATGGTTATGGCATATGTTAACACTGTCCGTCTAGCAAAGAATCAAACTCTCCACAGCGAATTTCCTAACTGTGACATTTTTCAGTTTAGGGGATAACAGTATATGCTAGTGTTGTGGACCTCTTACTTCTGTTCTCATGCAATCTTAGTTATTGAAAGAATTTGTAGCGTACAATGAAACAGTAATTCAAGTAAACTGGTGTTGTATCAATTCAGTTTAGGGGATGACGGTAAATGCAATTGTTTCAACATGCCAATCACCACTCCACACCATGGTTAATTTTAAACATCATCACAAAGGTCTACAGGTATTGAACTCTTGTGGCCATTTCCCCTTATGAATTGCTTCTAACAGTTGGGACCTCTTAACTTATTCTTATTTCTTCAATCTCTAACTGAAGATCTTCGCCAACTTCTTCAGCTAGTTCAGCAATTACAGGCTGTTCTACGTTTGCATCATGCTCCTGTTCACAATCACTTGGATAAAAATTCCCACAATTCACCAGATTTTCAAATCCCTCGCTAAGCCTAGTGCTAACTAGATCCTCGTGCATTCACGATCACAAATGACATGGTAGCTCGAAAAGGAACTAGATGGTGGATTTGCAAGTTGGGTAGGAGGGTGATCTAGGGAAGAGGATGATGCCTTATTGCATGAGGCAATTCATTGATTCTGTATGGAGACCTTGATGTCTCTGAGACAAGATATGGGGTCAGATTTTCTCGTGGTTCCTCCATCTGAAGGGATCCTTTTCTTTTGGTGTCAGAATATATACAAGTACAAGTAGCTGTGTTCGTAATTCATCTCTTATTAGTTTTATATCTAAGAATAACTTAAAAAACTTATATGAATTGCGAAAAGACTTCTCATCTATTTTCAAAGAAAAACTTTCTATCTATTTTTTTTAAAAAACTGATAAAAATGAGATCTAGCATATTCATTATACTAGATCTAGCATATTCATTATAAAAAGACTTTTTATAAACCGACAAATAATTTTTTTTTTGTCAGATTCTCAAGACTATATCTAGCATATTCATTATAAAAATAAGATCATAAATAATGAATTATACATGTATATTTCCATTAAGATGAGTCTTAAAAATCAATAAAAAATTATTTAAAAACTTCTTATTCAAACCATTCTTAATAAATTATAATTTATTTTCATGATTTATAGATATCATTCTTATAAAAAGACATTGTCTTGTACAAGTCTATATAGCACAATAATTTATTTCCGTGGTAAACTTGTAATTATTTTACATGATATTTTCTTCACAAAAATGCTTTTACCTATATTAGGAATATATGAAATAAAAAATTGAATGACTCTTGATAATTTTACATTTGCTTTAATTATCTAACAAATATCTTCAGAAAATCCATAATGAATTAACAACTCAATATCTTACACCTAACACGGTAAATTTGTATTGTTGTATTTTAAGGCAAAACATGAAAATTCCTTTTCAATTTCTTGAGTGGTGTCCATCTCTCATATAAGAGGTGGAGAAGTGATGTAACGAAAAGAGAAGAAACAAATAATAATAAATGTATAAACAAATATTGGATATCATGAAAAACTAAAAGAATTGACTTAAGAGTTATAGAGTATTGTTATTTGTCATTTGACCATGGTTAGAAAGAGATTAGGAAAACCAAAGTCACTAAAAAAGAAATACAAAAAAAATATGAGATAAAATAATCAATTTTTATAAATAGAATCATTCAATAAATTTTTTTTTTATGAAAATTATCAAAGTATGCTTTTAAATAATGTTTATTCACTTTCAAAAAATTATCATTCTTTTGATTTTCGATATCAAATGTCTTATAAGAATACAAATGTTTCAATTTTAATTTTAACTTTCTAGAAAATAGATGCAGTCGAGAATTATAAAAAAAAAATCATTTGACCAACATCAAATGTTTTTCTTAATATTATCTTTTCATAAACCACCTTGATTCTTGCTTTATGAATTTTTTTAAATTTTCTTTGCATTTTTTTTTCTTAAATTCATTTATTTATAACTTACATAATTGATTATCATCATCAAGGTTTGAATTAAAAATTTTAATAGCTCAATAAGTTTTATGTTCAAGTTTCATAGGCGAGTAACAAGATTTTTCATAAACTAACCTATAAGATGACATAGCTAATGATGTTTTTAAAAACAGTTTGATAAGCCTAAAATGTATTATTAAGTCTTAAAAATCAATCTTTCTTATTAGAGTTCACTGTTTTTTCTAAGATTTGTTTAATTTCTCTATTAGTAAGTGTACTTGTTCAGTTGTTCGAGGGTGATAAGAGATGATAAATTTGTGTGTGATTTCATATTTCTTAAAAATTCAAATGGCTTGTTGTAAAAAAGTATTCCAACATCACATATCATGTCTCAAGAAATTCCAAATCAACTCAAAATGTTATCTTTTAAAAAATTAACCATAGTTGTGTGATCATTATTTCAATTTCAAATTATCTCTATTCATTTTAAAACATAATATAATGTGATTAATATGAAAAAAAAGAAGATAGGGGAAATGATCTCATGAAATCTATACCCCAACAATCAAAGATTACAATGACATAAATATGATTTAAATGCACCATGTGATATTTTGAAATAGATCTTAACTTTTGATAATTTTTACAAATTTTACAAAATGCATATGTGTACTTAAACATGATGGATCAATATAATTTAAATTGTAAGATTTTTGCAAATATTTTTTAAATAAAAAATGACCCCTATGCCTTAGAATAATCCAAATTGTTTCAAAACCATGCTGGGGGTAAGTATTAAACAAAGCTTTATACGGTGAGAAGGAAAAAATTTCTTTAAAAATTGTTATTAAACTTCATCTCAAGCATAAATAAATCTAAAAGATCAGGGTTGATCTATATGGATGTTAAGGATATAGAACCATAAATAATAAAAGAAATAAAATTAAAGAGATCTAAAAGAAATGCTATTAATGTAAAGATTTAACATAGATAAAATAATTATCAAGGTTAAAGGATCTATTAACGGTATTTTAAATAAATATAGTCCAAACTCTTTTTATCACCCAACTAGAAATCACGTACAAATAAGGTTTTAAGGTTTCAATCAAATAATTTATAATTAATGACTCATTTTAAGTTACTGACATGATCATATTAATTATCTTTAATTACATTATTTGAGTAACACCAACACATATAAATGTTGTCAAGTATTCATAGTACTAATTTATATTAACATCAAATCAAGATCTTTTTATAGCACAAATGCTGATTTTCCATGCGATAGGCTATGAAAGAATCAATTATTTGTTGTGCTAATGATTGTTCATCACAAATCAAGACAAATCAAGACACCATTTAATAAGAAGGGTATTAAGATTGATTATGATAATAATTATAACATATGTTAATAGGAAACTTTCTTGAATTTAAATAATAAACTTAATGTTGAGTTTATACTATACTTATTCTTATATCATTGATGTAACCTTTTGACACTAGAAAAAATAAATTTAACTAAATATAATTAAGAAGAAAAACGTAAACAAACAAGATAATAACATAGTTATGATATAAATTAACTAAGCATAATAAATAAAATGATAAGCATAAACAAAAGATTAATGAAAATTTAACATGAAATAAAACTTGAATATTATATATATAAAAAAGCAAGGATCTTGATATGAAAACCAAGATGTTTAAATATATAACAAATGCTTTCTTTTATAGGCTAAAATTTAGAGTTATTAATATAGTGGCTAGAGAAAATATTATTAATAACATCATAATTTGAATAAATGATTTTCATAAAAATTGTAGATATTTGTCTCATCTTTCCAACCTAAAGAGAATAGGAATTAGGTTTCTATAACTCTATATATAGGCTGAACATCAAACAATATTTGTTGGCTTGCATTATGGTGGCGTGAAACATGTCCTCTAGATTGAAACGGCTCCATTGATAACTCCTTTGTTTACTATCAAAACCGTTGCAGATGAAGAAGATGATGAACAGTTGTCAAGGAAACGACATTTTTAGATTTAAGGGATATTTCTAATTCGGTCCTTGTATGTTTTTACAAATTTTATAATCAAACCCCTTGGATGAATTATAATTGGATTGCTTGATTTTAGCACCTTTTCGAGTTTGGTTTTTGGTTTTTGATTGTTTTAATTAAGTACCTAATTGACCATCAAACATCAATAATTATACAATTAAGCCCCTATTTTGACCAAACCAACTCTTTAAAATTATAATTAGACCTCAAAACTTTAATTTCTTTCAATAAAAACCTATATTGACTTAAAATTAATTTTTTTTACAATCAAACTCTTCATAAATTCAATTAAACTTTAGATAAAATTTAATCTATAAACATCTAATTTTGAATAAAAATTTTTAAATTAAACTTTCTATACCATTTCTCGTTGCTCGATGACATACTCTCTCCCTTTTCAAATTCTAAAAATTAAAAAATAAAACAAATAAATTTTAAGATTAAAATATGAAGTCCTTAAAAACTCTAGTAGAAAAAAATGAAAAACCAAAAATATGAGGGATTGAATTATTGTTTATTATGCTCCATGAATAGCAAAAATGGTTGTGATGTGTACGAGTGTTAACTTTAATCTTTGTTATTTTAATTTTTTATTTGATTAAATTAAATTGTATTTTATTTTATAATATCAAACTTTAATTTAATATTGAGATTTTTTTTTGTTAGTATATAATATCACACAAATTAAAATAAATTAAGCCAACATAATACGAGAGAGATGATGAAATTAAATGCAAGGAAAAAGAAAAGGGGACTAACTTTACTAAATTGTGGGAAACCATAGGGCAGCTGGGTCTTGATCCGTATGAGAGTCTTGACATCTTCAAGATAACATTATGGGTCAAGTAATGACGTGGCTCCATGCATATAAAGCAGAGAAAAGATTAACAATAGAAAGTCTTGCATTCAAACTTGATGGTTGCTTGTTTTCAAACTTGATGGTTGATCAATTTTCTTGTTTCAAAATTAAATATTTAATTTAATTTTTGTATTTTTAAATCTAATTATAACTTAATAACTCTTTTTATTATTTTATAACTTATTTATTTCTTGTTTCAAGCGTTGAAGAGGAAAGATGGTTGGGAATGGATTATATATTTTTCTTAAATAAAACGCTATCAAATCAAGAATATTATTTAACATTGATAAGAAATTATTTAATTGTTTCAAATATTATGAAAATTAATTAATTTGTTTTGATAAATTTCATTAACTATAATATTAATCCTATTGCATTTACCTATTAAAAAATTAATAAGCATATATATATATATTGCTGAATATTAACCATAATTAAAGTAAATGGATAATTAACATGTACTAAGTTAAAGAATAATAAATTTAAAAATTATTTATAAAATTTCATCAAATTATAATATTGATGCCCAGATTTTTTTTTTGTCAATTTCACTGTGTTTTTTATGAGGTTTTGGTTGATTGTGAGATGGATTGCTAGCTCATTTATTGCCTTTCTGTGTTGTGAGTTTACTTCGAGTATTTTTGGTATTGGTGTTTTAATGTGATTTGATTCATCTTGAGCCGACTTCAGTGATGGGAGTTGTTTTGGGGTGGTTGGTATTGGTTTTTTTTTTTTCCGGTGGAAATTATGGTTTTGATGTGTTGAACTTGATGATCATCTCTACCAGCGATGGAGTTTTGATGGTTTATGCTAGTGACTTCTGCAGATTTTAGTTTCTAGGGTGTTTGTATGGATGTTATTTGGTTTTGAGCTAATTGTAACTGATTGAATTGGATTGTGTAGTGTGATTGATTTATAGGATCGTGTCTTTGTTTATGTTGCTTTTTTTCCTCCAGTTTTCTTTGATAATTCTTTCTCAAGTGTTTATGTGAATATTATCATCTGAACAATTTTTCTTTCTTAATTCCTTATGATATTTTATGCGGTTTCCAACACATGTTGAATTAAATTGATGAGATGTTGAGACTGACTGTTTCCATTCCAATCATATCATGTCCTTTAGTAATGTATTTAGTTGCATACGCTTTACAGCTCCTGGAAAGTAGGCTTTATATTTTTTGAAATGCTGTGGGTTAACAGCTTTGGTGACTGGAATGAATGTCAATGTTTTGGATTTGTTCTTTTTCTTCTCAGAGGTGCCAGAATCAAATTTCATTCCTGGTGTCTTCTATTGGTTCCACAGCGGGAAACATTTAAATTTGTGTCTGGTGTTTGTGTTGCTGGCGCTGCACTGGTTTCATTCTCTGCATTTGTCACTCAGTGATAAGGTGCGAGCCAACTTTCATTTGCTGCCTTAGTTACTCATGTTTAGGTGTAAATCAGCTGGGAAACTTCAGTGTTTCTGAGCTGATGTCGTCATCTTTTCTAGTTCTTCCTGGTACTGCTGAAGAAAAGTATTCCAAATTGATTGATTCTTTTCAGGTATTGATTCTTTTCAGGTTTCTTCTGTAAGGGAAATGATTAGAAATCCAGCATCTCAGCAAGCATCACCACTGAGTTCTGGTAATGGGAGTGTTGGGCACTTGGTTTCATCATCTTCTAGATTTACAAATGATATGAGTGTTTCAGCAGTTTCACCACAAGGAAAGCAGTCTCATAATTCTCCATTCATTTCTCAGTCACTAAGGGACGGAGGAAATTTTCCACCAACCCATTATTCTCATTCAGAAGGGCTATCCACAGCATTCATTAATCACTCTGATGACAACAAGGATCTCTCCTGGGCTATAGATCCACTTCAGGACTTCCTTAATTTCGTTGAAAATGTCCCTGTCCAGAATGGTCAGGTGGAAAGCACTGCTGGTGTCATTGCCTCGGAGGATCATGCAAAGAGAACAGACTGGCAAGAGTGGGCAGATCAGTTGATCTCTGTTGATGATGAACTGGAACCAAATTGGAGTGAAATTCTGAATGATGTCAACATGAAAGATTCCAAACAGAAGGTCTATTCCTCTTATTGTTATGGTTTTTGTTACTATACAGTAATTAGCAGCATACACAGCATAAAGATGCCTCCTTGGTGTGTTCTTGTTTTTTCACATTCTCTTGTCACTTTCATTTACTTAAAACTGTAAATAATATACCAGATGTCGAGGCCGTCTCCTAATAACTCAGTTCAACAACCCCTAATTCATCAGCATCAAACTCCTCATAGTGGAGAAGTATGTGCTGTTACTAATCCACTGTTGGTTGCACCACCAACAAAATCTCGAATGCGCTGGACACCAGAACTTCATGAGGCTTTTGTGGAAGCTGTCAATCAGCTTGGGGGTAGTGAAAGTGCGTAGTCTTCCTTGTTATATTGTAACTTATATCAGAAAAAACTAGAGTGCATCTTGTCATGCGCACTTTGATTTTTGAATTACAGGGGCTACTCCCAAGGGTGTCTTAAAGCAGATGAATGTCGAAGGCTTGACTATCTATCACGTCAAAAGCCACCTCCAGGTATGTAAATCCCCTGCCTTATACTGTTTCCTCAAAAAATCTAGTTTTATATTTTACTTATTTACCTTGTATCATCTTTATATTTCAGAAGTACAGAACAGCCAGATATAAACCAGAGTCATCTGAAGGTAACCCCCAACTGCCTTCTCTTCTCTCACATTATGCAAGTTTTGCTAACCCTTCACACATACTTTATCCAAAAGCCTTTTGTAGTTGTATCTTTGCTGCCATATATTTCTTATTGTTGGATTAAGGCATAGCATGGAAAAGAATGTATTCGTATTCACCCCTCCTCTCTCTCTATGTGGTTTACGAACATGATTGTGCCACTTTCAGGAACTTCAGAAAAAAAGTTGAGTCCTGTTGAAGAAATGAAATCTCTAGACTTGAAGACGTAAGTTATCCTCTATCATGATTTCAATGTGACATTAACCTTTCTTGGTATCAAATCCGTTGTAGTTTTCGAAGTTATCCAGTAGATATATATATCACTTAGTATGGTTATAGAAGTTCACCTATATGAGTGCAGACCGTGGTTTACATTTGTAGATTTTTAACATATTTGATGACTAGAGGCCTTTTTAGCCTTCTAGGTTTCAAGTTCTGACTTTAGTTTCTAATATTTCTCCTACAACGGTGGCTGGCGGAATCTCCATGTGCTTTTACAAATGCCACCGTTGAAGGAGGGGACAGTATAGCTGAGGTGAGGAAGAGTTGGTGGAAAGGGAATGTGCAATTTTTCTTGTCTGGCAGACATTAGAGAAAATAACTTTCTCCTTAGTTACCTAAAGATGAAGAATATTACTTTTCCTTCAAGGACTCACAAAAACCAATCGACTCAAAAGTTGACAGGTTAGAGAAAAAGGAGTCCAAATAAAGAGATTCACAAAACCAATCAACTCAAAAGTTGGGTGGAAAGCGAATGTGCATTTTTTTGTCTGGCAGACATTAGAGAAAATGACTTTCTCCTTAGTTCTGGTTTTAAGGAGATTTCCTAAAAACTATGGTGTTTGTGTAGCTACAAAGGTTTAGATTAGAAAGTAATAGAAACCACCATTTGGACTCCTTTTTCTCTAACCTGTCAACTTTTGAGTCGACTGGTTTTTGTGAATCCTTGAAGGAAAGTAATATTCTTCTCCTATCGGTGCATTAGTATCTCACCAGATAAAATATGAATACATCATTTTTCCTTCACTTATAAACCAGAGTGCTTTTTATAACAATGGACTACCAAGCTGAATTTAGGCTGACCTATTGTTCTAAACAGGAGTATGGGGATCTCAGAAGCTTTGCGTTTGCAAATGGAAGTCCAGAAGCAACTCCACGAACAACTTGAGGTATGATACTGGTATTTGAGCTTCTATGTCTGTGTTTTACAATTTTGATGCCAATTTCTTTTACCTTTTATGGAGCAGTCTAGGTGTAATGCTAACCTTTAGTTAAGTAACCATTAATATTAGCTTCATGGAGTGGAAATTCCACAAATGCGTGCATGGTTTTTGTAACTACTGTTGTGTGGTATGTTCTGATAATGATGTTTTATCCCCAATAGATCCAGAGAAATTTACAATTGAGGATTGAGGAACAGGGGAGGCATCTTCAAGAGATGTTTGAGAAACAAAAAAAGATGGAGGGTGACAAGTCAAAGGCTCCTCCCCCCTCCCAAAACGACCCTTCCCTTCTACAATCAAAGTTAGAGCAGTCACCTGCAAATGACAAATTAGAAGCCTCAGATCTGGACTGTGTCAAAACAAGGTTTGATACAAGTAATGCAAGTGCCTTACTAGAAGAAAGCTCCCAGAGTATAAGCAGAAAGCAAAAGGCACCAGAGGACAGAAACTGTCAGGTTGTAGACACAAATGGAGAGAAGACCAGTTTAGCACTAGTGAAACGACCAAGAACAGATGAAACAACAGCATTGACAGCGGAGCCTGCATCCAATTGAACATGTTTACTGCAATAGACAGTTTGCTGCTCCTGGAGATGATGCAGTAAGCCTTCACAGGAGTTACATGTCCCATGAGATGATGCAGGGTCACTGAAGACCAGGAAAGTTTGGAGCTCAAGTTATGTTTTCTTTGGGGTAAACATTTATGGTTATGGCATATGTTAACACTGTCCGTCTAGCAAAGAATCAAACTCTCCACAGCGAATTTCCTACTGTGACATTTTTCAGTTTAGGGGATAACAGTATATGCTAGTGTTGTGGACCTCTTACTTCTGTTCTCATGCAATCTTAGTTATTGAAAGAATTTGTAGCGTACAATGAAACAGTAATTCAAGTAAACTGGTGTTGTATCAATTCAGTTTAGGGGATGACGGTAAATGCAATTGTTTCAACATGCCAATCACCACTCCACTCCATGGTTAATTTTAAACATCATCACAAAGGTCTACAGGTATTGAACTCTTGTGGCCATTTCCCCTTATGAATTGCTTCTAACAGTTGGGACCTCTTAACTTATTCTTATTTCTTCAATCTCTAACTGAAGATCTTCGCCAACTTCTTCAGGTAGTTCAGCAATTACAGGCTGTTCTACGTTTGCATCATGCTCCTGTTCACAATCACTTGGATAAAAATTCCCACAATTCACCAGATTTTCAAATCCCTCGCTAAGCCTAGTGCTAACTAGATCCTCGTGCATTCAATTATCTCTAGTGAAGTGTCTCCCTGATAGATCAAACTTTGTATAATGTTCATTTAGAGAGAGGATTTTAGACGACATTTGATTACTATTTCGAGATATTTATTACACAGCATGCTGTTAGCAAATAGTTCTAATTCTCTTTCCTTCTCACATGCTACTACACGCCGGAGAGTCATCCTCAACACATGAATGGACATGGGTGGGCGAATGGAAATGGTGTTCATGCTCAACATTAGGTGGTAGTGGAATTCATTGTGGATGAAAATAACAAAAGTTTCACTCCAAGCAGACGTAGAAGGAGTCTTCGCAAACACCTTTGCAGATCTTGCATGGAGAGGACCAATACCTGGCACAAATCAATAGAGATCAATCCGGTGACACTCGATGTTTTACCAGAAGGAATTTCTTATGGCAGTTCTGTACAGGATTTGTGAAGGAAGAATCTGCAGTCCATGCAAGCAGGACCTGAGATCTACAGCTTGCATTCACTACAACTCTTTCCTGTTGATGATTGGCTACTTTCATCAGTTGAAAGAGCACTTTGGCATCCAGGTTGAATCGACTTTCTCTGCAATGGTAGACAGAAAAGCCCGAAGAAATAACTCTAAACCGATCACAAATGACATGGTAGCTCGAAAAGGAACTAGATGGTGGATTTGCAAGTAGGGTAGGAGGGTGATCTGGCAAGGGAAGAGGATGATGCCTTATTGCATGAGGCAATTCATTGATTCTGTATGGAGACCTTGATGTCTCTGAGACAAGATAAGGGGTCAGATTTTCTCGTGGTTCATCCATCTGGAGGGATCCTTTTCTTTTGGTGTCAGAATACATACAAGTAAGTAGTTGTGTTCGTAATTCATATCTTTTCTTGATTTTATATTTAAAAATAGCTTAAAAACCTTATATGAATAGGGAAAAAGCCTTCTCACCTATTTTTTTTTTTTAACTAACAAACCGACAAATAAAATTTTTTTTGGTCAGGTTTTTGAGACTATATTTAACATATTCATTATGAAAATAAGATCATAAATAATAAATTACACATGTATATTTCCAATAAGATAAGTTTTAAAAGTCAATAAAAAATTATTTAAAATTTTTTTCCTCAAGCCACTCTTAATAAATTATAGTTTATTTTCATAATTTAGAGATATCATTCTTATAAAAAGACATTGTCCTTTACAAGTCTATATAGCACATCCGTGGCAAACTTGTAATTATTTTACATGATATTTTCTTTACAAAAATACTTTTACCTATATTAGAAATATATAAAATAAAAAATTGAAAGACTCCTGATAATTTTACATTTGCTTCAAGTATCCAACAAATATCTTCAGAAAATCCATGGTGAATTAACAACTTAATATCTCACACTTAAGACGATAAATTTTTATTGTCATAATTTAAGGCAAAACATGAAAATTCTTTTTCAATTTCTTTAGCAGTGTCCATCTCTCATATAAAAGGTGGAGAAGTGATGTAAAGAAAAGAGAAGAAACAAATAATAATAAATGTATAAACAAATATTGGATATCATGAAAAACTAAAAGAATTGACTTAAGAGTTATAGAGTATTGTTATTTGTCATTTGACCATGGTTAGAAAGAGATTAGGAAAACTAAAGTCACTAAAAAAGAAATAAAAAAAATATGAGATAAAATAATCAATTTTTATAAATAGAATCATTCAATAAATTTATTTTCTTTATGAAAATTATCAAAGTATGCTTTCAAATAATATTCATTCACTTTAAAAAAAAATTCATTATTTTGATTTTCGATATCAAATGTCTCATAAGTATACAAATGTTTCAATTTTAATTTTAACTTTCTAGAAAATAGGTGGAGTCGAAAATTATAAAGAAAAATCTTTTGACCAACATCAAATGTTTTTCTTAATATTATCATTCTTGCTCTATGAATTTTTTTAAATCTCCTTTGCATTTTTTTTCTTAAGTACATTTATTTATAACTTATATAATTGATTATCATCATCAAGGTTTGAATTGAAAGCTTCAATAGCCCAATAAACTTTATGTTCAAGTTTCATAGGTAAGTAACAAGATTTTTCATAAACTAGCCTATAAGGTGACATAGCTAATGATATTTTAAAAATAATTTGATAAGCCTAAAATATATTATTAAATCTTAAAAACCAATCTTTCTTATTAGAGTTTACTATTTTTTCTAAGATTTGTTTAATCTCTCTATTAGTAAGTGTACTTGTCCACTTGTTTGAGGGTGATAAGAGATGATAAATTTGCGTGTAATTTCATATTTCTTCCTTAAAAATTCAAATGGCTTGTTGCAAAAAAGTATTCCAACATCACATATCATAGCTCAAAAAATTCTAAATCAACTCAAAATGTTATCTTTAAAAAATTTAACCATAGTTTTGTGATCATTATTTCAATTTCAAATTATCTCTATTCATTTTAAAACATAATATAATATGACTAAAATGAACAAAAAAAAAAAAGACAGGGGAAATGATCTTATGAAATCTATACCCCAACAATAAAAAATTACAATGACATAAATAGGATTTAAATGTGATATTTTGAAATAGATCCTAACTTTCGATAATTTTTATAGGTTTTGTAAAATACATATGTGTACTTAAACATGATGGGTTAATATAATTTAAATTGTAAGATTTTTATAGATATTTTTTGAATAAGAAATGACCCCTATGCCTTAGAATAATAATCCAATTTTTTTCAAAATCATAGTAGGGGTAAGTATTAAGCAAATCTTTATACGATGAGAAGAAAAAAAAATTCTTTAAAAACTGTTATTGAAAAGGAACTAGATGGTGGATTTGCAAGTTGGGTAGGAGGGTGATCTAGGGAAGAGGATGATGCCTTATTGCATGAGGCAATTCATTGATTCTGTATGGAGACCTTGATGTCTCTGAGACAAGATATGGGGTCAGATTTTCTCGTGGTTCCTCCATCTGAAGGGATCCTTTTCTTTTGGTGTCAGAATATATACAAGTACAAGTAGCTGTGTTCGTAATTCATCTCTTATTAGTTTTATATCTAAGAATAACTTAAAAAACTTATATGAATTGCGAAAAGACTTCTCATCTATTTTCAAAGAAAAACTTTCTATCTATTTTTTTTAAAAAACTGATAAAAATGAGATCTAGCATATTCATTATACTAGATCTAGCATATTCATTATAAAAAGACTTTTTATAAACCGACAAATAATTTTTTTTTTGTCAGATTCTCAAGACTATATCTAGCATATTCATTATAAAAATAAGATCATAAATAATGAATTATACATGTATATTTCCATTAAGATGAGTCTTAAAAATCAATAAAAAATTATTTAAAAACTTCTTATTCAAACCATTCTTAATAAATTATAATTTATTTTCATGATTTATAGATATCATTCTTATAAAAAGACATTGTCTTGTACAAGTCTATATAGCACAATAATTTATTTCCGTGGTAAACTTGTAATTATTTTACATGATATTTTCTTCACAAAAATGCTTTTACCTATATTAGGAATATATGAAATAAAAAATTGAATGACTCTTGATAATTTTACATTTGCTTTAATTATCTAACAAATATCTTCAGAAAATCCATAATGAATTAACAACTCAATATCTTACACCTAACACGGTAAATTTGTATTGTTGTATTTTAAGGCAAAACATGAAAATTCCTTTTCAATTTCTTGAGTGGTGTCCATCTCTCATATAAGAGGTGGAGAAGTGATGTAACGAAAAGAGAAGAAACAAATAATAATAAATGTATAAACAAATATTGGATATCATGAAAAACTAAAAGAATTGACTTAAGAGTTATAGAGTATTGTTATTTGTCATTTGACCATGGTTAGAAAGAGATTAGGAAAACTAAAGTCACTAAAAAAGAAATAAAAAAAATATGAGATAAAATAATCAATTTTTATAAATAGAATCATTCAATAAATTTTTTTTTTATGAAAATTATCAAAGTATGCTTTTAAATAATGTTTATTCACTTTCAAAAAATTATCATTCTTTTGATTTTCGATATCAAATGTCTTATAAGAATACAAATGTTTCAATTTTAATTTTAACTTTCTAGAAAATAGATGCAGTCGAGAATTATAAAAAAAAAATCATTTGACCAACATCAAATGTTTTTCTTAATATTATCTTTTCATAAACCACCTTGATTCTTGCTTTATGAATTTTTTTAAATTTTCTTTGCATTTTTTTTTCTTAAATTCATTTATTTATAACTTACATAATTGATTATCATCATCAAGGTTTGAATTAAAAATTTTAATAGCTCAATAAGTTTTATGTTCAAGTTTCATAGGCGAGTAACAAGATTTTTCATAAACTAACCTATAAGATGACATAGCTAATGATGTTTTTAAAAACAGTTTGATAAGCCTAAAATGTATTATTAAGTCTTAAAAATCAATCTTTCTTATTAGAGTTCACTGTTTTTTCTAAGATTTGTTTAATTTCTCTATTAGTAAGTGTACTTGTTCAGTTGTTCGAGGGTGATAAGAGATGATAAATTTGTGTGTGATTTCATATTTCTTAAAAATTCAAATGGCTTGTTGTAAAAAAGTATTCCAACATCACATATCATGTCTCAAGAAATTCCAAATCAACTCAAAATGTTATCTTTTAAAAAATTAACCATAGTTGTGTGATCATTATTTCAATTTCAAATTATC